ATTTCATCTGCCAAGTATCAGCCCATTCGCTAATTAAATCCAGATCTCGTTGAAGCCTCTCTGCTGCTAGATTAGTATCTGCTACCCCGCCCACCTTAGTGTCGTCTGCAAATTTAACCAGTTTACTGTATGTATTCGTGTCAATATCATTAATGTAAATTAGGAACAATAGTGGTCCTAAAATTGAACCCTGCGGTACCCCACTATAAACGGAGGCCCACTGTGACATAGTGCCTCTAATAACTACTCGCTGCTTCCTATCAGTTAGCCAGTTTTTGATCCAAGCTGCCACAGTTCCTAAAATTCCTGCAGCTTTAAGCTTTAACAAGAGCCGTTTGTGGGGGACAACATCAAAGGCTTTCTGGAAATCTAAGTAAATCACTTTGTAAGCTGTTTATAGTAAGACCTGCAGCACAGCCCTTTTCAAAAGTTGCACTATTTGTGCAGCTTATTTATTCCTTATTGGCTTGTTTTGTGGGTTTTAATTGAATTACATATTTTCAGCATTCAGCTTTTCTTATGCCCATGAAGCTACGGTGCCCTAAGATCAAATGTTCTCCCCAGACCTGCTGAGGGCAGAACCAAATGTTCATGACTTCCTCTTTTGGTGCTTTTCCACTGGCATACAGGAACCAGGCCATACCTGACCCGTACCTCAAAGAGACACTAGTTCTACAGCAAGGTTCCACTTCGATTTTCCACTGCAGCTGGGTCGGCTCAGTAAAGGTATTGCCAGGTTTGGAGAGCAGCAGTGAAGTAAAACTGAAGATACGCTTGTTTACTGTTCACACCGTGTACATCATGGGTAACTACGTGCTAATTTCCACTAGCACATCTGTTAGTATCAGCGTGCTATGTTAGCATTAATCGCTAGCATAATTAGCATTATCTTGGATAAATTCGCATTATGAATCCATTCCATTCAGCCATTCTGTAGTACTACATTAGTAAGTTAGTATTACTAATAAGCAGGGCGATGTCAGCATGGGTACGGATTAGGTACAGCTCACATAATTTACAATGGAAAACCATCTCTTCCTGGTACGACTTGGGTATGCCTGTTCTTGGTGGTGGAGGAAAAGCACCATTTGTCTCCTGTTTGTCCCACCACACCCACCCCTTCTCTCCCTGCTCAAAAGGCTGCCAATTGTTGCTAGACGGACTGAACGTTCTCCAACTTGCTCCATCTTTATCTCCAGGTTCAGGAAGCTGGTGGCTGAGTTTGAGCCTGACGTTCATGAAGTGCCCAGCCTTTTCCGCTCGTTGCTGCGCGACTGCCTCGACGAGGAGGAAGAGCGGGACCTGAGCGGCGCCGAGATGCAGGCTAGGGCCAGCCGCTGGAGCACGCAGCGCAGCAGGAGCCTCTCCTTCGTCTCCTTCCGCTCCAGGTTCCTCATTAACCCCTTCAAGGGCGTGGCCTTAGGGGGCTCACGCAACAACCTGCAGGAGGGGGCGATGTGGATGGACGAGGAGGTGGAAGGGGATCCGAACCGGTCCGTGCCGGCTGTGAGGAGAGGGAGGAGCAGGAGCATGCCAGATATCACCCAAATGGAGGACAGAAGCTAGTGCCGAAGGAGGAACTACAATACTGTGCAAAAGTCTTAGGCAGTCAAAAGAAATGTTGAAAGTTGATAGTAGGATAATAAGTATATATCTGCTCAGAACGAAAACATATTTTGACATTAGAATATATGCACATTCGGAGTAACACAATGAAAACTAACAGGGATTTCTTTTGTTTTCTAAAAAGTTACTGAGATCCAGCTGGCTGCCTATATGAACAGCTTCAGTTCCCAAACCTCTCCTCAGGGGCACCCCAGCCATTCCATGTGTTTGTTCAGCAATGTCACCACAAGCTTATTTGATTTATTAACTAAATACGCTTTAAAAGTCAGTGAGGTATTGATAAGTCGCGTCAAAGACTACATGGGCGTATTGGATGGCTGCTGCAAACACTTTGGTGACTATAGGAGAGATCTGACGTGGGTAAGCTAACACACTTTTACAGACATATTATCATAGTTTTACACAAGCATGAAGGTCATTTAAACATTTTCTTTTACTGTCTAAGGCTTTCGCACAGTATCGTATGTGGGTTCAAAATGTAGAGACAAGACATGTCAGTAGCCAGGGAAGGACAGACAGAAAAGCCAGCAGGTTGTGACACACATTCTTGTTTCTACGACGATATTCACATCAGAGATCACATGGAGTGTACAGAAAACTAAGGAAGACGTGCAAAGACAGCACCTTTGCACCAACCGTGATACAGCACACTAACGGCGCAGATTCATAAACACGTGATTTAAAAACAAACCAATACGAGGGTTATATTCATTAAGTTACTAGCTTCTGAACACAGTTTAAAAATCCCAGCAGTATTCAAGCAAATAATTTATAGTACTTGTCAAATTTAAATAAAAATATTTTTGTGAATATTAAAGCAATACAGAATGTAATGCATTGTTGTCTGATTGTTGCAGAAATACACTTAGGATGAGAATAAATAGGTACTGCAGCCCTATTGCCTCTGTGTGCTTCACACTTTAGACGACCTGAATAGAAACCAGCAGCTTTTCTTGGAGACAGTGACGCCACACAGTCAGATGCGCAGCACTTCGGCCACGACGCATCAGAGACTGCAAACAGCTTACGGTGAATTAAATGGGGAACACGGCCTACCATCAAAAGTCAGATGGATGGGCCACCAACTCAGAAACCATTCAATGCATCTGAGTGGAGAAGAACAATCCATGTCAATGCATATCAAGTGTCATGAGTTTTGCCCAGTCAATGAATCATAAATGGGCTTGAAGTGTGGGAGGTACAATCATTCAGGCTTATAGCTTTTTTTTTTTCCTCAGAAAACTAATAATGGAGCACATAGGAAATAACACAGCATTTTGCACTCTCAAGATGATTCCAGGTTTCCTTTGAAACATGAACTACTAAATCCATGCTCAACTATCTTTATGTTTTTTTACATACAATTAGTATCTCCCCACTAATCTTAAACTAGGCTGTAGAGAGCTATAAGGAACATTTAAGTATTCTAAAAATAAAATTGATTAAAATAGTCCCCAAGACACTGTAATAGCATTTTTAAAAGGTTAAAAAAGACAACATACACAATCAGTGCAGAACAGCACAACAAACATATTCCAGCTCATTTTAATATTTACATGTTTTTAATAATTATCTGTAGTTTGTACACTACAAGCAGGAGCTAGAGTCAAACAGGAGAGGTGTGATAAAAAGACGGTCCTTACTGACACAAAAAAAACCCTCCTGCAATATTATGCTGTTCTTTAATGCAGCATTCCCCAACCAGCTTCCCCGGAAACCCCAGATGGTCCATCTTTTTGCTCCATCCAGCTCCCAGTAGAGAGCAAAAACGTGGACTATCTGGGGTTTCCCAGGGGCCGGGTTGGGAAACACTGGTTTAATTCACAGTTGTTCTTCAGAGGGAGAGGTAGAAATTAGAAAATGACAGGAGGATGACCTAGAAAGATCCAGACAAAATGATTAGCAGTTATACATCCAGACACATTGTTACCCTTCACTCTTGGGTTCAAAATGTCCCTTGAGTAACTTCTCCAAGGTCTGACAGTCAAGAAATTTACACAACATATTTACCACTATATACCTAAATGAGTAACTCCTTCCCTCTCATTTGGCCTCCACACTTTTCTCCATCATTCAAACTTATTCTGCAACTAACCTTAACCATCCACCAAATATATATACAAATTAGCTTACAGTCTTCAAAATGTGACATTCTCCATTATGTACATTTCAGCCCAGGGTGTGGCATTCATGGACTGAACCAGCAGAGGAAGGGGAGGGACTAATTGTTAAAAATCATCCAGGATATCTCCCGCTTCCCAAACTGCTGTATCCATGCCAATCTATCCCCTTGCTTCAGAATTCTTAAGTGTACCAAGTGCCACAGACACACAGTAACAGTTAACGAAAGCTTACAGTGGTGCACATATACAAACTGAGGAAAAGATCAGATACACAGAGTCATCCTGTATAAGAATACGTAAGATTTAAAAATGGGCATACTTCAAATGTGAAGCTGATGTATTTTAAAAGTACGTTAATTTTAGGCCAATTTGAGGCAACTGTCGGGGGTAGTACCGCTTGAGGCCCCTCGTCCACACTTAACAGGCTATTCGTAAAAATTTTGCATTAAGTTTTGCAACAGACTGGAGAGGAGGGACATGAGTGCAGAGTCCAAATCCTGACAATGTCACAGAAGTGGCAATGTAGCCTCTGTAGAGCTCTGCTTGTTCAGTTAACTGCTTAAAATGGCAGCTTGATGGTGGATTCTGAACCCACTCCCACACTCTGAAGCCATGCTGATTACCTGAGGAGGTTGCCAAGTAACAAATAACCACTATGTACCATGTGCCACTTTGACACATGTAAAGATAGGTGTGTGGAGCCTGGAGTTACAGGTGAGAGTCAGGATGCAGGCTGAGATGTGTGCGAATAGAGCCATCGCTGCAGATCCCAACCCTTTAATGCCAATTTACTCTCCATCCCCATCTTCTGTCTTTTCCTCAGTCATTCTACAAAGCAGGAATGTTCCTCTGTTGAAAAAAATCTAATTTAAGTTACAATAGTAACCTTAAATAATTCAAATACAGGGAGCAAGTCCAGCAACAGGCCTAAACTTCATAAATAAAACCACAAAGGTCATGTCAACTACCTGACAGCACTAAACAAAAACATTATTACACTGTTTTTAACTCAAGACAAACCAATGAGCAAAAATGGATTTACAAGCTCTGTAAATGTTCATAAAAAAGAAGACATCAAAGGGAGACGATGGCAGAGCATAACACTCCAGGATTTGGGTAAATCACTCCACATGTGTTTTTCCATTTGGAAAAGCTACATCAGCTTCTGTCTTGTGTGGTATGGGATACACCACCTAACTTTATGCTCAACTGTCAAAGATGACCCCTAAACAAATATATAGAGTAATGGTAGATATTTTCACCACTGCCGCATTTGGAAAATGAATAAATACAAAAAAAAGTGCCAATCTATTGGAGTGTTACACGTATAATATTTCAGAATCCTGTGCTCCTTATGAAAACCTTAAATATGGGACCTTTAGATGAATTGCTTATGTCACTGTAAAGGTTATGTGTAAATCCTAATATTTATTAGGCGGAATCACTTTTCAAAAGGTCAGGAAAAAAGAATAAATATATGTCTGAGTGTTACGCACATGGAATTTCATAACCCAAAGTCCCTTATCAAAAACTTCCTATTTTAGAGGAAGAATTACTTATGTCACTGTTAAGGTTATGTATAAACCTTACAATTTATTATGGGGGTCCAATGGTATATGAAAATTCTAAAAAGTCACATAACGATAAATAAAAATAAAAATCAAAACACAAGCTTGGCCAGTTTCCCCAAAAACAGCAGCTTTCAAAATGTTTACCCTCTGAGAGAAAGAGGTCGAGATCATTAGCCACAAAAAAGAAGTCTGTGAATGTACAGAAAGTTCTTGTGTCCAAAACCCTTCAAAAGCTAAAGAGGCTTCATCATTCTCACTCACCCTCATAAGAGCTGCCCACACTCTCATCTTCCTCCTTTCACTCCTCTCTCCTTCCGGTATGTGTGACTGTGCGCACCCCATACCCCCCCCGATGCATCCCTCCGCCACCCGATCCCTCTTCAGGCGAAGAAGACGACAAAGACAATAAAGAACACCATCAGGATGAAGAAAATCTTGATCAGCAGCCAGCGGTTGGAGGAGACGGACTGGAAGTACTTAAGGATCTCTGCGTGGGCAGCCTCCACGTTGAGCTGACTGTCTTCTACATTAGCATCAATTCTGAGAAAGCAGGAAAACGGAAAGCATGACAGCTGGAGCAAAAGACCCAAATGCCCAAGGATAAACACTCCAATGGCTCAAAATGTGTTAAACATAGTTTGCAAACAGCCAAAGTCAAGCACTGCCTTTCAAGGACCTGTACCTACATTCCTCCTCTCCTCCCCTCCCGGACTCTAAACCCCAAATCCACTCTCACACCCTCTGTCTTCTAACCCGTCCCCTTCAGAGTGGCCTCCTTTCACAATACATCCCACTACTGACCCACCTCTGCACCATCTCCTCCTGCTCCTTGACCATGTGTGCCAGCTGCTGGAAGATGGAGCCCAGTTCCACAATGGTGGACTCGATGTTCTGCATGGTGTCAGCTCGGCTCTGGATATACGACTCCTAAAGAGGGCCAGTGCACAGACTCAGTAGCAAAGAAGCCGATAATGACTAGTAATCTATGACCCCTCCCATCCCAAATTTTACAGCATGTTTTCAAGAAGGGGAAACTACACAACAGGTCAATAAAGGTTATAACAGAACCGGTCAGTGTCTGAAATGCATCCCACAGTTTAACACACATTCTTTGAAGCACAACGACCATCATGATACCAGATCTTGAAGGTACCTGTTCATCTATGAGCTGAAGCTGCTGACTGGCACGGGGGTCCATGTCTATGGAGACCTCATTCGATCTTCTCGATTCATCCTGCATCAACACTGAACTCTCTGAAGAAGTTGGAAAAAGGAGAAGAGAGACCTCATGGGACACGTTACAATAAGCAGACAAGCAACTGAAGAAGCTCAGGATGGACAGAAACAAGGTCAGATGAGGAGCAGAAATATGAATAAACTTCAGTCTGATCCAACCGCAGTTTGATTTTTTTTTCCTAGTTTCCACAGATATGCTAAAGGTGATCACCAGAAGCTTAAACCAAAACTATTAGTAAAAAGGTAAAAAAAAAAGGCTCATCTGCATATCTAGCTTAAACAACCTTATTCAGGTGTATTCACATGTGCACAATTTTAAAAGGTGAACTGTCAGTATACCGATGAAGCTAGAAGCCAACACTATTACTGAGAGGAAGCAGAGAGATGCAAGGTGATCTTACTGAAGCTGGCAGCATGTACAGCGGAAGCAGAGAGGGGAGCCTGAGAGAACTGCTCCCTCCTGCTGCGCTGCTGCTTCAGGTTCTGAGGGGAGGGGGACAGAGAGGGGAAATCCATCATGAGGGGACCAAGAGAGAGAACTATGGATAACTATGGTACTTTTACAGCGGTTAAAATAACAATACCAGTCCAAATACAGCTGTATATCTGGGTACAGCTTGAAAGGTTGCCAACCCCTAACCTATTGTAAACTTGGACATTTGCTATAAATCTTACTCGATTATGTTTTGGAGATGGACTGACACAAGCAAATCTATCTGGCCTGGTAGTGGTGTCAAAGAATATACACTTTAATTTTTTAATTTAATAGCAATGACATAACCAAGAACCAAAATTATGACCAGTCCAATTCAAATCATTGGTGGGTGAACTCATCATTGTGTCTTTCTGTCAGGAATACAGATCTGCACCTTTTTCACAACAAATTGCTCCCATGAAGTCTTACCTCTGTTCTGACTTCCAGTACTGATTTAAAGTCGTTCGACATAGACGCAAGCTTTGACTGCAAGGTTAGAGCAAAGAAGAGCCTAGTGAGAGTTTGCCAGCCTCAACAAGACCGCACACATTCCCCATAACGGTATATAAAATCTAATGAATAAAACGACAAGATACAGATAAACTGATAGGTAGTATGACAGAAAGACAGCAACACAGTTATTGGCAGGTTCTGGTCATGTGCTCATTGCCAGTGTTGATCCTGACCTGCAATGATACGACAATGCTGTTGGAATGCGTCTGCACGTGCTTGCCTTCCTGGCCGGTCCGAGACAGCCCCAACTGCTGCAGCTGTGCTATCTGCTTATTTAAGCTGTTGATATCCTGGGATGAAGATATTTACATTTCCCCATTCAGAAAACACTACTACCCAAAGCAGCTTACAGACTGAACATGGGCAAAACATTAAGAGGACAAAGACAGATCATAAAGACATACAGAATAATCCATGGGCTAGCCTGCACAAAAGCATATCATTACCATGGTTACACAGTGACAGATAATGTAGCAAGTGAAAGAATTAATGGAATTATTTCTAACTGGGGGGGGGGGGTCGGGAAAGATATCAGCCCCCCCAATGAGGAGAGGCCAGAATAAAGACTTTGGCACTTGTGTGCCCTTTGTTCTGCATTTTTCTTCCCATTTCCCTGTATTTTGTGCTGACAGTGCAGCCCACATACATGTGGAGGTTCGTGCACACAGCTGTAATATTATACTCAAACACAACGTATTGCCTCACCTGTTTAATGATATATGTTAACTCCTCAATCTCCACAGCTTTGTCATCAAACAAAGATTTCCTTTTGGCAACTAATTATAAAAGAAAGACATCATTGTATTTCAGGATTCACTTCATCTATGCATAAAAAAGCCACAGCACAAAATGTAATCATGAGGCAAAGAAACACAGGTCCTTACGTATAGTAAGCTTTTCCAGTTTGGCAAAAGTGTTACTCAAGTCTTTTCCAATTCTCCTACAAGAAGAGAGAGAGATAAAGATATTTATAGAAGGAATGTTTATATTACAGTTATATGACAATAATTGTAAAAATAGATTCAGTGTGTCAATAACCAAACATACAGAGCTAATGCTAAAAGGTTTATGCCTTGTTAATTATATTGCAATTAAGCATGAAAAGATATTCCATTCTCCACACAAAGTTTGCTGGCAAATGTGCACATGGGTGACATGCTCGCTAATTAATGTCATTTAACCTGGCCTCCCTCAACCTGTGTCAGGTACTTCATTAAATTAATATGAAATAACAGGTTCTACAGAGAATTCGACAGAAAAAAACTGGAAATGCAGGAAAACAGGAACTGACTTAGCCATCAGTGTGAAGTCACTGCGTTGCTTGATGACATTGAGAGCTGGCTTATTTGTCTGGATCCCATTCTATCCAGAGAGATTTGAGTTAAGCACAGAACCTGGCGCACACACCACGAAATACAGAAGGCAGGAACTAGCCAGCGTCTCACCTGTCGACCCTGCAGGGACTTGCATGCAGAGAGGAACTCTTGAGTCCTATCCCGGCAAGACATGGTGCTGGTGTTCGGCAGTGGGGCGGTGGCCAGGGTGGGTGTGTCTTGCAGATGGATCAGCTGCAACTTTGTGTGGGAGGCCCCAAGATACACCCCCTGCTCACTGGTATTAGGACCGTGGCGGCGATGTGTGATCATGAAGGTTCCACCACATCACCTGAGGTTAAAAGGAGAGCATAAGAGGTCCCACACAGTCCAGAGAACCCAAACTCACAGCAATGCCTTATCTGCAGGCCCCCAGCAATAACAGCTATAACAAATAGCAAATACAATAATAATGAACAGAAATAAAGTTGAAATTCCGTCCATGGGGATTTGTTTATATAATTTTTAAGTAAATAAACTGGGGACTTAACCGTGAAAGTCAGTACTACAAATTCACATCGAAATTCACACCCAGCAACACAAACCTGCTAACAACAGGCAGTACCAGCTAATTAAATGACCTATTCTACAAGAACCCAAAACCAGAAGTGGGGATGTCATTGACGGAGTTGGTATTAAATCACTAGGCAAAGCATGTATCGCTATTCGTTTAACTGAAACCTTCTAGAACTCAAAATGAAAACTTCATTGTACCAGACCGGTTATTAAACATTTTTTTCTGTTAACCGCTAAATTTCATGTTAAGTTTAATACTAAGTTCAGGATTTTAAAAACTGTATACGACTTTTCACCACTATTTACAATTTACTAGGTGCCTATATACTGTGGTTAAACTATTACACTCACAACCTACCACTTTCGCTTTAACGAGCCCGCCTCCAGCTTTACACATTTCTCATACACGTCTCTGTTACTAACTATCCCCGCCTACCCAGATTTAATCTCCTATCCTATTGGCAAACAATCCTATTACTCATAACTTACGCCTCTCTTCTTAAGAATGTGATTTGCTGAATTTCAAGTCAATCATATTAGCTTGCAACCACATTAAATGATTGGCTGTTTCAGAAATCGATAAAACGTTCTACGCGCCGGCGAAACTTGAAACTATGTAAAAAAAATACTTTACAAGCATAAAAATGATCAAACTTCAACCGATCACCGTGACAACAATGGATTAGCGCGTTACTTTTAACAATTTATCAAATGTGCTGTTTATCGGAAAGACAAAAGTGCGTTCGCTGGTAAAATATGATATTACGGTTCCGACCTAGCCGGCTAACTGTAAAAAACTCTGACATCTCCTTTATTTCTTATGAATACATTACTGTGAAGCGCAGGTGTACCGACAAACGTATTTAAGTAAGTGTGATTTAAAAGGCCAAGTTCTTACCGGTAAATCCTTGTTTCGCTCTATATAAGCAGAATCTCCCGTATCGGTGTTTGGGGATTCGCTCCGGTTCACTCCCCGGATGTTGACGTCACCGCCACGTCTACTAGTGCGCGTGTCCGCATCAGTTCTTTAGCACATGCACTGTGGGTGTCACATGATAACACGAAAACGGGTATTGTAGACGGGAAACTACCACCTAACAACAAATAATGACAAGAAACTGCGACATTTTTGTTATATTTTACACAAAAATGTACAGCGAAAATAAGAGATTATATGCAAGGAAAGCTAAATATTAAATTAAATGCCATTCCGTTTTTCAAGTATTAAATTATTTTTGCCAGCAGGTGTCCCCATCACCTACCTTTAGAAATAAGAAGAGGTGAGTTTAACCGCTAAGAAGCGCAATAATCCACTTGTCTTCTTTAATATTTACATAACTAAAGCCTATAGCAGCACGCTTATTTCATGAATACTATTGTTTTGATAAAAAATGCAAATTCTACAAAATAATTCTTTATCCGTAAAAATCGTTTAAACCAATAAAACTGGAAAATATTTTGTTTGTGCATATGGATGTGGATGTATTACTGATACTTTTATTCAGTATATATAACAAAGTATATATAATAAAAACTGTAATAAAGCATGAAAGGAGATGAAAGACGAAGAGACAAAGTTTGAAGCGAATGGGAATGGGGGTTATGATAGTCAACAAACCAAAAACAGATAACACACGCTGTATGATCTCCTGATTCATACCTACGTGTTGCCCACATTCTCCAACCCAACAAGCACAGACAGGCTAAGGGCCCCCTTCCATCACCCCCCCCTCCACCCATATCAAGACACTACATCAGCTCTGTTCACAAGTCTTCTCATCATGTTCAGTTGTCTTCACATTGCCAAGTAGTCTAAACTCAATAACCAGCAATACGACTCTCAGCAAAAAATAGGATGCACATTTTGACCATAGAGCATTTTCCAAAACAAAACTGGCTGCAGTGTAACAAAACACATGTTGCTACTGGCTAGTAATACCTAGGTGTTATCATAATAAACTTTCTTTCTCTCTCTCTCTCTCTCTCTCTCTCTCTCTCTCAGGAAAGATGCTATCATGTACACACAGTTGTGCTATCCAGATGTCATAAAATACACACACAGCTGCTTCAACAAAAGACTGAGGGAAAATATGGCTGGCTGGATTTTTTTTATCATAAGAAAAACATGACACTTCACACAGACAGTAGAAGCAAACATGGGAACAGTGTTTATAGATGGAATGAAAAAACAGGCGAGAGATGTAGCGAGGGAGATAGATATTAACAGAGGAAGATGTATGCGGGAGGTAGGGAATGATTTAGAGATGAATGAAAAGAGATAAATTGTTGTGCTATTATATAATCTGTATATAGAGCATGTCATTTTCATAATTTCAAATAACTCTTGCGTTTATTTTATTTTATTTTATAGACAGATTTTTTTACTGCCTGCATTGGTCTCTGACTCTGATGTTAGATAAGTTTAGTCTTGGCAAAATTCACCGTATGTACATCCCAGATGCAGGATGCCAAATATGAACTCATTTAAATTATCTGCCTATCAGAGAGAAGCGTGCAGATGCTGATAATCGCCTTGTTAGTGTTCTCTGAAACTGAGTCAGCATGGAGGGGAAAGACAATATTGTTTCTCATATTATTGCGTCATTTACACTGATCTCCCTCACTCCCAATAAACGTTAGTAATTAACGTCCTGTTTGTCTTTCATTAGAGCAATGACAACTAACAGGGAATGTTCTCAGAAATTTAGCTAGTATTATGTCACAAATTTGGCAGAGAACGTTCTTACCAAAACGTTAATGGAACGTTTTACATTTTAACAAAACCTTTGTTTATCTTAGCACGACAACGTTATTACATAAACATCCCTTTTATGTGAATCATGTTGGAATTATGGTTCCATAATAAAACATAGTCATAGTAGTGTTATATGTGTAAACTGGGAACACATCGTGTAGCCTTGAACCCCTAACCTTAATGGTGCTACCTGCTGCTCTACCATCCCATTTCTTCATTTATGCATTACTGTTTTTAGTAGTAGTAGTAGTAGTAGTTGGAGTAGTGGAATAATGTTCAAGGAACCAGGGTTGGGGCCATTCCGGAATCCATCCATCAATCAATTCCAGTCCAAATGAGGAAATGGACCTGGAGTTGGAATTTAAATCTCCCTGAAATTCGAATTCAATTCCAATTCTGTTCCCCATAGTTCTTTTTCCAATCCCGACTCCAGTTCCATTTCCCCATTTGGATTAGAACCCTGCAAGGAACAACAGGAAAACATGACACTTTGAGTGTTTCCATACCTTAATTACAACATTTAGTAAACGTTCCTTGAACAAAATATTGTTAGCTGGGTAGTACCGAGAGGCTGAGTATCAGAGACAAGGAGAAAGGGGAGGGGGGGAGGGTGCTATGATGGGGAGAAACACAAGACAGAGACTGAAGGAGTCAGAAGCAGAGAGTGCTGAAGAACACAACACAGAAAGGGTCAGAAATCACCCTAACAACCTTTTTCAAAAATAAGCTGTTTTCCTTTAATGACTTGAACATTGTATTATGGTTACTGTTAACAGCACGGTTCATCCCCTATCGACATAATTAATGATATTCTTTTTCACATTTACAATGAAGTGATTAATATTGTTACCACCAATATATAACATGACTGAGAAATACACACTTTTGCACACTTGCACAGACAATAAATAGGGCACAGATGGTGTAGCAGCAATAATAATTATCATCATTATACACACATATGCTGTATATTTTACTGTATATATTTTATGCTGTATATTGTATTATTTGTATGGGGGTTTTGGATTTGATTTGACAATTAGGATGTGACACACATTTAGTTCTACTCTACACTCCAAAACCAGGACTGACAATAAAGGTCCACATTGTAGAGCAATTTTATATTTCACCCAGATTCTCTTAGGTGGAACTGCAGACTACACATTTGATTAAATGTTGGAGATGTCATATACAGTATTTATATTTAAGGTGGTATGAATGCATTAAACTACTATATCCATATTGTAATTATATAAGTCTGTGCTACATTTGCTAACCCTTCCCCAATATTGCTTTTGTACAATCTAAGCATGTTGCAACTAGTAGGAGGCGCTGATATACTCTTTGGAGAAAGTCTCATCTGCTATACACTGACTCTCTAAAAATGTCCCCACAATGGTTTTACATTAACAGACAACGGAGGTCTCATGTCACCTGACAGAGAGTACATCATAAGCGACCTAGTGTCTAAGCTAGAGGTACAGACACCAAACATTGCATTCTAATGGGCTACTTGCATAAGTGTGGACGTACCACTGTGGAATCTACAGTACAGTACAAGTCAGCCTGATTGAAAGACCCCTTAATGTGGCACTCATCCTACACCTTCCATGATGTATTTCTGCTCATCACACACAAATCAGTCCGAAAATGCTAACTGGACGAAAGGTTTGTTAAATACACACAAATACTCTTTTAAAAAATGATGAGGGCAAATAAATAATAATGTAATAAATATGGGTGTTTCATCCATCTCAAAATTGGTACAAAATCCATTTAAAAAAAAGCTGTCTTGGAAAGTGGGTGGCTATTATATTTGTCCTTTTTCCCTCTGTGGAAATGAAGGCTGTGAACTCTGAACTGGGACCCTGTAGTGCTGCCTTTCAGCAAAGGCCCTTCTCTCTTTCTCAACCCAGCCACTAAAATGGGCTCCAGACATGGGATGAGAACTTCAGCCAAGTGAATGAATTATTATGCGGCAGGAGAAACTGCGTTACGCTGATGGCACAAAACGGCGTCCTTTGTATATTCTCCTGATAGGCTACCCCCGGGTGACAGGGCAGGGTCCAGTGAGAAGCACAAGCAACGAGCAGGGAATAAGAAACAGGAAGACATGAACAGAAGCGATTAAGGCCTGAATACTGGTACAATTGAAAAGATCTAAGGTCTAAGGTTACACAATTTGAGGTAATAAGGAACGCAAAACAAAAGACTTAACTGATCTAGATGAGAAGATAATACACTAAGAACATTTCGAAGGCCAATGTTCTTTTTTCTTTGTTACAGAACATATTAAAGGTGACATTTTGGGCCTTTTTGAAGAAAAGTTACTGAACACCAGGACCACATTAATTATTGCTCAGTTTACCTAGTCACTTGACTGAGGTCTGAAATACAAAATGCCGTAAAAATAAAAAAAAATAAAAATTAAACAACACAAAAAAGCAGCAGTATGGAGCAATATTTAGTTTAGTTCCAAAGTCCATTGTCCTGTGTGGATTTAAACCAGAGGAACGCTGGAACTTAAATTTGAAAAAAAATATATGTGATATCTTTGTTTCATTTTGGCTCAAAAAAGGTATAATCAGTGTTAGCTGGCTTAAAGCTTTTCATCAAGCAGCAAATAAGTATTTTGATGCAGCGCATGTCAATAAAGATTTACTACATCTGCCACTAATTCTGAGGCTTAACTTGGAAGATCCATTGCCATGCTACACAATTCCGTCCTTCATTTCCATTTAAAAAGTTCCGCTCAATGCACAGAATGAGTCTAATTAGATACACAACTTTGGTGGGGACGGTTGTCTGTGTGGGGTGGGGGTGTCACTCCTTTTATACATTTTACAATTTACAAAAGAGTGTAGGTAAAAGTGTTTGCCTAAACCCATTTCCTAAAACATGTAATTACCTTCTCCCTGAGTCCTGTCTTGGCTACACTTGGTTTGAGTGATTTAGTTTTAAATTCATTGAATTTCATGGCTATGCACACAAAAGAAGACCCTTCCTCATCACCCGGGTCTGCTGATCATTCTGAAACACTCACTGATAATGCATCATTACACAGGCTGAGTGATTTTACTACAAATTTGCAGCTTCTCTGCCCAATCAGAGAAACACCTTTCAAATGACTTAGGATGCTGGTGTAGGTTCCACCAAAATCTGGTGCTCCATCTTATAGAATCTACAAGATAAAGAACAAAACTGAAAGGACTAATGGCTTCTTCTCAGTCTCCATTTCATTGTGTTTTCATGTGTGCGCGTGTGTGTGCATGTGTGCGCGTGTGTGTGCATGTGTGTGTGTGTGTGTGTGTGTGTGTGTGTGGTGTTTCACTTTTATGTTCCAAGACAAAATCAGTTGAGAGGTTCATAGGAATATATTTCTTTCTTTCAGCACACGCACCTCGTCTTCGGCACAGACACACAGACATACTCTGCAGGCACCATTTTGTGAAATAACCAGCCAATCCGAGTGCTTCTAAGAGGCAGGAACACAACAAACAAACAGAAAATACTATAACACAAAAGAAACATTACATTTTAAAAAAAAAGGCAGCTTTTTTAACATGAACACAGTGAAGGCATTGCAAATATATATCTTAACATAGGCATAATGGCATAAAAAACAACTAAACATCTGACAAGGAATATATATCGGTATCTAAAATATATTTTACTCAATTTTAACAACAACAAAAAGCTTATTGTTACCTGTGTATATGTATGCGTGTTCAGAATTTATTTGCATCACAGTGTTTCAGAATCGCTGGACAAGTTCTGGGGATATAATTCTGTATTTAACCATTGTGTTTATTTGTGTGTGTGTGTGTGCGCCATTTAAAGTGCCTAACATTATCTAATATATTTCAAGATGGATTAGGTTGTGCGAAACTAAAAAACAAAGGCAATGGTGTTAATTACAAAATGACATTAAAAAAAAAAAAAAAAAAGTATGTGTTTAAGTCTGCTTGTGTGTGGTCCTGTGGAAGAAAGCCAATACTCTTCACTATTGGCATTCCTAGCACTGCCCGACCAAGTTAAAGGCCCTTTCAGTCAGGAAAAGAAAAGGAATCAGACAAAAACAAAACCAACAACCCAACAGGAAAAATAAAGATTCATTGACAGAGTCTGTGGCCGGCTGATGGATGCACATACTGAACAGAGAGAGAGACACACACACACGTTATTAATGACAGCCATGTGGGGATCATGTAGATGTCATTTTAAATTTGGTCACTTTAATAAAATTGATTCCTCAGAAAAAAAGGAAACCTGATCATTTTAACAATATGTGCCCATATGTGCGGATTTATTCATTGTATGGTGATACAATATTGAGGTCATTATTAATTTTCATCAAAACTCTGTTTTCACCATATTGAGCTTTGTGCTCTGCCCACATCACTTTTCCTCGGATTATCCATTCCCTCAGACCATTGCCATAATTTGACAAACGATTGTCAATCGGTTTGCAGGCACAAGATGCCAGTCTTCCTGCACCCTGTACCAGTGTGTGATACCAACCATGTGCTGTAGGGTGTTCCCCCGTATTGTAGGGTGTTCCCCCGTATTGTAGGGTGTTCCCCCGACATCAGGCTAGTCAAATTCTGCAAACTTCAGTCTTTCTCTGTGCAAACCCACACATTTAATTCCTCTCCACTTTTTGCCTGTTCACCAAGCACATCATTGCCGTTATTCAGTGGTCATGTTTTTCTCTGATTCACTCCTTCAGATTGGGAGAGGACATCAGCAACCTTGCCTTCCTTTTCGAGCGAGAACAGGAAATGACCATGTAGGATTGCTCTAAAATGGCTTTGAATTCTGATGACGTGACTTAAGGTATTTGGCAAGTGATTCTTTATATGGACTCCAGTTTCAGGACTGTGATTTACAAGGGCTATTCTACCTGTCCTGACCTGTTAAAGAGCAGCATTAGTTATACATGAGCCCGTGGCACCTACTGTACTCCAAACAGATCGATATGCCTTACAAACAGATCTGAGTAGTATCCCCCAGGTCGACGTTTGCATGAAGATCCATGACATAACATGAAAGGTTTCAAGACATATGAACGTGTGTTCCGTCGAACCACATGTCCACCATTCTGTTCCCCAGACCTTTCCGAACTTTGCCTGTAAAGCATTTCTAATTATACCATTAAGGGAAGGGGTGCCATGGCAACATGATCCGGTCTGGCAGCAGTTTTCAGAAAAGCTTTATGATGAGACTTGATAACACACACATATATATTTATTTAAGACTACTTGCTGTGGTGGCTTCAAGGTGGTTGGGTTAGGGGAGGTTTGTGTGACTTGTTTGTTTAAGCACGCACTCCGTCCACCTTAATGGTCCTTTCGGGTTTCCCCTGATCTCGCCGTTTCATCTCCATCACGTCACATGATTATTTTGTAGGCTGGACTCCTTTATTTCCACTGTGGCTGGGAGACACAATTTCAGCTCATCACCGTCGCAGAGACTCGCATCTGAAAGCAAGAGGTGGGTCAGGAGGGAGGTGAGTTGGGGTCGGTTATTCAATCCAGCTGCGTCTGGCATGAGTCTCACACTAGGAGGGCAGCTTAACCTCTACTAACCCCCACAGACCTCAATAACATAGCTTAGCTTATCATTTGCAAGGCAGACATATACATCCTTCAATGTCTGCAGACTGAATGAAAAAGATGAAAAATGTATTTATAATGGATATATTGGTCTATATTTTATAAACATGTAAAATAACTGTATGGTATAAAACAGGGATCCCCAACTGGGGACAATTTAATCTGGACCGTGCAATCAATCACCTACCCGCCCCATAACCCTAACCTTAACCCCCCCCCACCCCGGAACATTTTTTCAGGGGCAGTGGATCTTGGCTTTGTGCTGCTGATGGAATTTGGCTCTCAGGGAAAAATCACTGGGGACCCCTAGTATAACAGGACCCTTATGCATGCTTGATGTTTCACACTGAGTATTCTGTTTTTTATAGTGATTGTACTTGTTTGGGCAATTCCACACTAAGGTTTGCGGGATGTCACATCAATTACGCTGATAAAATGCTATGTAAATTAATATACAAATATGGAGGATTTGTTTATATTCAGAGGTTACATGAAAAGATATGCAAATTAACTCTTTGATAGTAAGTCTGTACATGCTCTGAGGCATTTTGTTTGCCAGTATGAGTGTAAATGCCACAACTATTTCACTGGAATTGCCCTTTTACATTGTGTCTATTGTACGATTTCCAGCTATCGCTGATCTTCTGATCTCATCCATCGCCCAGATGCTGACCTGCAGTTCTGCTGGTTAAGCCGCTTTCCTCGTCGCCTGCAGCTGTCCGAGGTTTGGCTGCAGTGACACTGGCAAGTCAGAGGGTCCAGCACCCGCCTTCTCCCAGAACAGGGCGTACACTGTGGCTCCGTGGTCGGAGGGGGGAGGCTGGGAAAACGCAGGGAGGGGATGAGTGGGGGGTCTGAGAAGCGCAGGGGGTACATTCTGGCTAAATCTGGAACTTAATCACAGCACTGAAATGGACCGTAATTGATCGAGTAGCGAGAGAGCGGCCCTTTTGAAAATTCCCCCTATTGAAAATCCATTAAAAAGCTTTGAAAGAGAAAGAAGGTTTTTTTTTTTTTTTTTTTTTTTTTTTAAGTGAGTTAATTGGGTGGGGGGGAAATCCATCTTTGCCTCTGCTAAGGCACTGGCGGTTGGGTGACAGAGGGAACATTTGAAGATCAAATTAGCCCGATTTCGCACCTGACAACCTTTCAGTTGGGGGGAGGGGTGAAAGGAGGATAGGGGCAGTAGCACCCCTATCCTAGAGTCACCAGCAAAAATGCAGGCTGGGGAATCACAACAAAGTAAAACGTCTAAAGACAGAGTAGGGTGGAGCCTATTGCATAAACATATAAATGCATGCAGGTAAACATGCAGCTGGAAAGGGTCGACCTGATTTACTACAGGAGGATAGAAAACAGCCCGAAATAACTTTATAAATGACCCACTTCTTTAAAGGAAAATCAAGAATAATGAGAGAAGCAAAGGTTTGCATGTCGAGCAATTAGTGTGCAAGAAAAATTGCGCGAATACTGCTGTAGAGACAGAAATGTCACTGTATGACTGAAAAAAAACTGTGGTGTTAATTAGGGTCAGACTTGGAAAAAAAATGACTAGTCAGCAAAGGGTAACAGAGAAGACAAGCAGCACCTCGCATGCATAATTAGTGTGCAGGAATCATTTGAGGGCAACTGACTTTCACCTAATATCTCTGGACCCATCTTAAACTAGTGTATAAAGATTAACAGATTTTCTACTCTTTACTGGTCAAACGTTATTTGAACTTTTTTATGCCACAACTCTAAAAATTGCTGTGGACAAAGACCTTCAGAAGTCAAAAGCTGTATAAAGCATATCCTCTTTCACAATGGATTTTGAGACGTTAAGTGAATGTCTGCAGCCCTCGTCACAGATATTTTAAGAAATCAACGTACGATGGTTTGATCTCTCCAATTTTCTTTAGCTTGGATTTGTCTCTTTCTCTCTTTCCCCCTTTCCTTGTTGGGCTCTGTTCCTGTCTTCAAAAAATAATTTAAAAAGCTACCTCATTCATCCTTTATGCAACAAGAATTTGCTTCTTCTTTTATGAGAAGAATCAATTTTGTATATAAACTACACTGTCTCCCGCTTTAGCTTAACGCACACAAGCTGGACAGAGTTTAAATGATAAGAGGAGGAGTTTTCAACCGTTAGCTTGGGACTCCCTCATAAAGAAAAAAAGAGAAAAGTCCTCCTCCCCCTATAATCTAATTACACAGCAAAGCAACCCCTGCCCCCCCCCCTGCATCCATAGGAGGCACAGCTTTCCATAACTTGTTGCTGCACTTGACCTCTATAAACTAGGAAAGTGTTTGTTTTGCAGGACTTTTAGCACAAGCAGAAAATAAACAAAAATATATAAATAAGCATAACCTGTTTGTGGCGCGATACCTGTAAAGATTTTCATGTTATGATATTACGTGACTGATGTGCAGCGCTTGGCATTTAGCTCATTTATATAAAGGTATCGGCGATCGATCTAGGATACGGCAGCTTGATTTACGATACACATCATATAATGGCTTCTAAGCTGAATGTGTCTCAACTCCCCTGAGGCACAGCGGAATCTTTGGCGGTATTCCAGCGTGAACTAAGCTGTGAAACCTTGTCACATTTGCCTAATAGTCAAATAGGAAAACTGTATTTTGTGTTCCGGCTTAAAGTAAAATGAACACAAAATGCTAAATACCTACAATACAAAGATCTCCAGAGCTTCTGGACTTTCTATAGAGACGACATTAACATAAGTACCGACCTTATTTCTGGAACATCATGTGACCTGGAGATTAGTCTGATTTCCCTTTCCCTAACCCTCTGAAACAGGAGAACTGGCTTTGCATTACTTTTGGAGAGAACTGAATGTTTAATAAGGCTTCATACATTTGCTGGTGAAATAAGTCATAAGAAATCTGATTGTAGAGAGCTACTCTTACACATTTTTCATATTTTATCACAGATATAAAAGGGGCCTTTCTGCTTGTCTTTGTTGGAAAAACCGTGGTTTATGCAATAAAAAATGTTAAATTCATGAAACACCATAGGACTCAAACCTGGGATTTACACAAAAGCCTAAAACGGAGTCCAACAGTAACATTCTGTTTTGAGAGACTGAGAAGTATGGCACAATGGCTCACACACACAGATCTGTGTCTGGCTCCACAAAAACAAAAACAGTATGCAGAAACATCTAGACTATCTCCAGGGCCCATAAGCCCCTGACTGTGCCTGGCGTAAGGGCCGCCATGCCGCGGCTCCTCTGAGCACCAGAGGAGACAAGCATCTCCCCGGGTTCACTGAGGCATGGCGGGAGGGGCTGTCCCGCGGGACGGAGGCTCTTAAGAAGCACCGCTGGGCGCCTGGGCACACGCGTGCGTCACCACGCTACACAGACAATGAATGTACCTGGTAGGGACAGTGTGAAGGTCTTTTTTTAGTCTGGAAGGGAAAAGAAAGACAAGATCAGTTGGCACGCTGACAGCAGGCAAAATGAGAGGGCAGACAGAACTAAAAAGCTGATGTATCAGGCAAACAAAGGCTGTGTACACCTTGTCCTGTCACTCTGTCTTAAAGGTAACAGTCTTTAAGGTAACACCTAGTCAGGAACAGGCAGAAAAATTACCATGATGCCTGTAATACTGTGAAGGGCTACATTTCAGTTTCGGATACAGATGCTCCCCAGGTTATTATGGTTCACATTACGATATTTTGACATTACGATAGGTATTCCAACTCCACTCTGTTTTTCACTTTCAGTACATTATTAAATAAATTACATGAGATATGCAACACCTTATTATACAATAGGCTTAATGATTTAGCCCAACTGTAGGCTAATGTAAATGTTCTAAGCTTGTTTAAAGTATGCTAGGCTATGCTATGATGGTTGTTAGGTTAGGTGTACTGTTTTAAAATGCATTTTTGCATTATGATAGGTTTATCGGAACATTACCCCATCGTAACCTGGGGAGCATCTGTATTTACTGAGAGAGAGCAGCTGTCCATTGGTTTAAGCAAGTAAAATGTATGAGCATCGTGAATGTACATGAGTTTGGGAATAGTGTGTGTTTGTGTGTCTGTGTGTGCTCACCTGCACTCACACTGGCTGTGCTCGGTGAATGGCATCTGCACCAGTTCATGCTTTGTGTATGTGGTCTTCATCAGCTGTGGGGGTGGGGGGGGGGGAAGCGGTGGAAAAGGTACACCATGATAACAATATGTCACATGTCAAGGGCAATCAGCCGCATGGCAGTCACCAGCGCGTACAGGAATGATGGGCACTGTGATTCAGCAAACTGACTTCCTCCCTTGGGGGCGAGTATGTGCTGGAAGATAAGCCTTAGTTCCTGCCCCCCCCCCCTTAGTGCTCTCTGGCGCCACAACGGAGGTACACATGGATGTGCATCGATGCATGTGCGTACCCATGTCTGCGTCTGCATTGCATGCGTCCATACCTCCATGGTGAGCGTGTAGGTGTGCAAGGGCACACACTCCAGAGTCTCGTCGGAGCAGCATCCACCGCAGCGGTGCAGCACTACGCAGGAGGGCAGGAAGAGGTGCTGCGTCTCCCATGGGAACTCCCTCCAGACCTCCACTAGGGTCTCCCGGGGCTGGCACCTGCTCCGGCTGTACACCTCCAGCCACTTCAGCACTGCGGATGAAAAGTTGCACGACCCGTGTTTTGTTTTCTCGGGCACGTGGAGACAGAGGTATCATACGCGAATGCACCAGGCACACGCAGGGCCGGCGACACCTTCTCAGCGCACTTAAGCAAAGCTATACTTGGGAGGCCCCCTACCAAAAATCTGATGATCATTTCACTTCCTAAGCACTGCAGGTAATTCAGGAGCCCGAGGCGGCCACAATTCTGCCCGCACATAAATATTTGAATTTGATGTGTATGATTTTATTTCTTTATCATTTTTAATTTTGTAAAATTATTCTTACATATAAATAAAATATATAAATATATATTTTTTCATGACTTTGTCTAGGCTCCCTTGTGCCAATCGGGCCCTAGGTAGCTGCCTAATTCACCTATAGCTGGACCTGGCTGTACACATGCACATACACTCACCCTGCACCAACAGTGCCAATTACCTGAGTATAGGCACCAAAGCCAAACTTGCTAACTAATTATGGGGAGACAGCTCAGTGGGGGACTCTTACCAGATGGCCAGTCCACATTCCCCGCCCCCCCCCCACCCCGATGGCCAGTCCTCACTCCCCGCCCCCCCGATGGCCAGTACGACGTGCCGTACTTCACATACCCAGTCCTGTGACGGCACTTCAGCCCCACTATTCGAGATTACAGCATGACACACCCAGCCCCCTCGGTCAACACACACAGAAAGACTCTACGCAGCACATACATACACATTACATATCATCTACTACTGCAAACATGCACAGTCATAATTCACCATAAGCACACATTCAACACATAGGTTATACACTTTCTGTAACATAAATTTGCAATGTGAAATGCAACCTGCTGCCCAAAATACACACACACACACACACACACACACCCACACACGCACAGACACACACACATACATACATACATACATACCCACAGACACACACACACACAGATCTGCCTATCACAGTCACCAGTAAACATACAGCCAAACTCAGTGTGACATAAGCCAGATCATTACCTGCACATGCCTGTATCCCGGACAGACCTGCCCTCACCAGCCATAACATTTGCCAGGACAGCATCAAGTAACAGATACCCATACTAACCCTAACCATGTACACCCAATGTTCATTTTATTTACCTTGCACTTTGTGCATTGTCTTCACACTTCTCGTGCTCTGCAGTTTTGTGCAAATCTATCTGTGCTCTTAATGTTTAGGGTTGTCACTATTAATTATATTATCAATCAAGTAATCTACCGATTAATCAAGTAATCTACCGATTAATCAAGTAATCTACCGATTAATCAAGTAATTGTTTCTTATACATATGATACACACACACCTAGTCGTCTAATGTTTGCCACCGCCGCTTTTACACGAGCTCTGCAGGCACTCTCTCAGCCAATCATAAGCATTTTCATCCTTGCTCCTGGACTCTCATAGACACTGTGGCACATTTGTGAGAAATGAGTGAGATGGGGAAATGCAAACAAGAGGTGGTCACCAAAAGACATTCACCTTCTGCTGCATAGAAAGAAGAGATATTGAGCAATAGCAAGCAATTAGTCTGTACTGCTCTGTGTCCATTGGCATGACTTGCCACACCACCAGCTTACGGGACACACACTTTTGTTAGATCAACTGTATTTGGCTATAGCTTATTTTGGGTAAATTTTCAACTTCTTTCTTTGTTTTATAAATATGAGAATAGGGCAGCATGGTTAGCACTCTTGCGGGACCCTGAGCTATGTTTGTGGAGTTTGCATGTTCTCCCCATGTCGTGTTGGGGTTTCATCCATTTTTTCTGGTTTCCCTCCAGAGTCCAAAAACATGGTAAAGTGAATTGGAGTTACCAAATAGTGTGAGTGTGCTCTGTGATGGATTGGTGTCCCATCCTGGGTTATTCCATACCTTGTAACTAGCTTCTGGAATACGCTTCAAACCCCATGATCTTGCACAGAAAAAGCAGGTATAGAAAATGGATGGAAATATTTATCGCAATGTGAACTTTTCCAGTACATATAATGGCTAATAATTAATTAGTTACTGTGAAAGATGATGTGGCTTTTAGCGGCAATTATCTTGAGATACAAGAGTCGTAGAAAGTAAATTAACCAAAATAATAATAAGTAAAAATGATGACAAAGATGGGCTAGGCTACCCCAAGAGGCCAAATGACGCGTAACTTATAGTTATTCAAGGCTAACCACATATTATCGGGTGAGTCCATGGATCTCTTCGTTTAAGATGTCATTGTATTGCAGTTCCGGTGTTGCGATATTAAAGTTCTGCAATGGTTGCATTTTCATTCATTTTTAATGTGAAGTGCTACCACACAGCTGAGCCCTTTCCTCTCACTATTCTGGACCCTCATCCGCTATGCTTGGTCTTCCTTCCGGCATATTGCTGAGTGATCAAGATGGTCAATTTTAAATGGGCACTTCTTTAAGAACAAGCAATCGGCGTTATTCGATCAATCATGACTGCTTTATGTATGTTATTCTGTTATTAAACTAAAATATGTCTGCTCATCCATCTATCTGTACCTCACCAGAACTTGCATTCAGACGATGACATCATTTGGGTCACATTATGCATGTTAAATTACAGTCTCTCTCACACACACACACACACACACACACCCCAAAATCATCACCATTACCTTCCCTGGATCTGTGACTTTCGGCAGGCTGCCAGTGGGCCAGCTGGAAGACAGGAAAACGGCGAACAAATGTCAAGTACGGAAAGGCCGGACAATGACAGTGCGAGAGAGAGAGAGAGAGAGAGAGAAGGAGACTGAGAGCAGACTCTCGCTCCAACATCTCCATTATCTCAAAATGTCAGACAACATTCTGCAATGCAGGACACAGTGACCAGGTACACCAGTGATATAGGCCTTGAGCACGCCAGTCAGAGAACCTCGGCTCAAAATGGCGTGGATAAGAATACAAAGAGCCAAGGAGGGCACACACTCTGTGCTGCAGGCTTTGATGAATGGAGGTTGAGCAAGAAATGTACCCTAGATAACAGAAAAGGATGGCTTGAAGGGAAGGGGGGACACAAAATAAACAAGGGGGGAAGGCAATACATTTTACCGATGCTATGATTCTAAAATAGCATTTGCTGACACGTCCGAATGAATACAAAGAGGATGAAACCCAGTAATCTTTATTGGAGCACCACGGTGCAGGGAATGACTGCTGCCATAAATTTATATTTTTCATTATAACAGAATGCTTCGTTCATCGCTCTCTGTCACAGACACAAATATATGCACAGGTGTAAGAAGGTTTTGGGGTCAGAGCACAGGCCCAGCCGGCACCGCTGGAGAAGTCAGGGTCCAACGGCGATATTATAGTGTGCTCACTAAAGAATTCAAACCTATGAGCTTTGAAAGACAGCCACCATAAAAAAAGGTACGCCAGATTATTATTAAAGAATTCATATTACTTCAAAAAAGGCATTTTCAAAAATCATGGCCCTTTTCAGATTCCAAGCATATAACTGTCAAATTTAGCACAGAACAAAGGCCATATTCAAAATATATGAGAATATGATCCGCAATAAGAAAAAACTGAATACATTTAATCTCTTGCCTGCTTCATCAAAGTTCAGAAATTGTACAGCAATACGTTATTACCTCTAGTCCTTTCTGTAGAATGTGTGACAATAAATGGCAATGAATGAATGTGTGTGAGTGACACCACACACAGACATACAGACACACATGCACACACGCACGCACACATTCAGCATAGCCACTAAGTCCAGGAGGCCGTTACCTGGGGAATGCAGACTTTGCCCCTTGTTCTCTACCCCCAGCATTTCTGCTTTTGCCCAGGCTGTGAGTAAATGCACACGTCCCTAGTTCCTATAAATGTGTAAGTCGTGCAAGCAGAATGCGAGCTCTGTACGCCAGGGCTGTACAGGACTTCACGCTATGAGGTGTCTCTGAATGCAAATATATAAATAGCCTTATTGTAGTGAGTATGTAATCTGCATGCTATTCATGTGCATGCACTCATTTTCAGTAGTCACAGATTTTTTACTGCATCTTTCCTTCTCCTCCACACCATACCATCCATCCCCCCCTTACCCCTACATAACCTCCATATTGATCGTTGTGAGAGCCACGCGTCTTCCTGGAACGTGTGCAAAAACCTGCTGAAAATACATGCGGTTATGGAAGGCCTATTTGCGCAAAAATGGGACGTCTATATCCAGTTCGGCATTCCTGTAAGTGTTACACGGATCACGGTGCTTTTCAGTACTCCACAAATCTGAGGGCTGCTACTTTGCTTTACCCTCCAAATGCTTGGCCCTCAGCTAAAAAAGCAGTCACATGCTGTTAGCTTACAAGTAAAACAACTAGACGTACACCTTGCCTTTTATCTTGCAAAAACTGGCAGGAATGCAGGCCGCTTTGCTATCTCTAGGCCCACAGACAAATGCATGGCGACACACATATGAAAAGGTATACAACCAGCCCTCATGGGGCATACTTAGACACAGACGGGTGCACAAACACACAAGAAAGATCTACGCCGGCACATTTCCAGCCGGCGCAATGCACACGCTCCGTGGTACGAGCAGGAACTGTGTCCTAGGTCAACTTGTGAAGGCCTGGAAAAGGATGAGGCGAATGGGGAACGTGGTTTTGCTTAATATGAAAGATTATAGTGCAACATTACTCAACCAAAGCTTCAATCAAACAATCTCCTCAAGCTGGAGGAGTAGATACAGGCCATGCAGACTGAACTGTAAACAGCGCTGCTAAATCTGAGGGCAAATGGTTACACTGGGCACACTTAAAATAATAAATACCCTGCTGCATGACATAGTTTAACTAATATTTATCGTAATGAAATTCAAAACTATCACAGGAAACATGCATCACAGAATTATATGCTGGCTCTGACAAGTGATTATGCTTTTTAAATTGAATTTCCTGCATGCTGATGTGGAAAAGACCTCATCCTATGATGTTATATACTAAGACGCACTGCGGTCAACAAAGTCAATGAAAACAATGGCTACTCATTGTAGCCACCGCAGTCTGCCCACCATTCAGCTGTATTGATCACTTCTTACATGCCTGGTGTGTTTAGCATGTAGGCAGGCACTGCCAAGAGTCACTGTGTGTCCGATCGGCAGGGTCCTCGCATATCTCTGTATGCACTGTGTGTTCCAGTACCCAGTTCTGTCCAAAATTCTACATGGCACCCTTGTGTTGTAATCTGAGGGAAGAGTCACACCCTCCCATCGCACCAAGGGAGTTGTGCAAGCCAGCCTTGGATGCCAGGAGGAACACAAGGCTGGCACTGCAACATATACGAAGAGCATTCACCCACACAAAGCAACTATCAGTGAGTAGACACACATCTTCATTTATGGCCCCTATAATTACATTAAACCAATAACTCCCACAGGCTATCACATAAGAGAATAAAGAATATCCTCAATTTAACTTCATATTCAGAGAACTCCTCCTTCCATTTATGTTTAGCAATGACATTACAATGACAAAAAACACTGTTCTGGAGAAAAAGGCAGTGATTTAGTAGAGGTATACAGTAGAACAGATTTAGAGGAAGATTTAGATGAGATTTACTTGCATGTTCCAAGAAAACAATCCTGATTGTAATCTTAAACATTCTAACTCGGTTTTCATGACTGTATGTGTATTTAATCTTGGTAGAGAGGTAATGTCTTAAATTTAAACAATTAAAGTGATGTCCCATACATTTTGTTCATCATCAGACAATTCAACATGCATTGTACTTGAACGGAAGAGTGTGTTTTATATCACTGACTACTTTTCAATGTGTACTGTAAGTCTGTAAACAATATAGGTGTTAATCTTTGGCCTCAAGGCGATTCGATTCAATTATGATTATTTTCAGAAGGACTGAATGCATTGGAAATCTTTCATTTCTACCACAATTCGATTAATTGATTATTCTTATTCAGAACTTTTTATTTTAACTTCACTGAAAAAAATTCACAAATACGACTATGGGAACTTAGGTACATATTAAGAATGGTATATAAAATAGATTATCAGAACATTAAACAGTGACAAATCAGTGCAAATTGTCAAAAAGGTCAATTACTGAACTGTACAGAAGAAAAAAACAATGTAAACATTGCCAAACACATGAAGGAAGCGCTACTTGATTGGCTGCTTTCACCAACAATAACTAGTGGTGCACCGATGTGGAAACTTGCTGAGCTTGCCTGCACAGATTAGCGGAATAGGGCTATGTTGTTTTTTTTATCCTATGGAAAATGAAGGATCAGTCTCCAGGTCTGATTTAATAATGAATTATATACATGTTGCAGGCCGGTACGTTGAGGCCTAAGTGATGTAGGAGCCGACGAAATCCCTCATGCTTACAGAAAACGGCTGATCATCCAGGGCAATTATCTCCATTATGTTAGTAGTTGTGTCTTCACCTCTGGTGCTGCTAACTTTGAATACAGACGCTCCTCTACTTACGAATGAGATACGTTCCGAACGGCCGTTCATAACTTGAAATGTTCGTAAGTCGTTATTCAACATCATTTTAAGGGTATACACAAGTACAAAGCACTAGGATGCTGGGAGTACGCACACTAAGCTGCTAAGGCGGAATTAGCGCAGAAAAAAAAATTATGTTGTGGACAGGAAACAGGAGCCCAACGAACACAATTTGGACTTACAGTCCTCTTCATTCGTATGTCTGTAAGTTGAAAGTTCGTAAGTAGAGGAGTGTCTGTACTTAAGTCTAAATAACGGCTGGCAATATCAGCCAAAACTGACACATCAGACTGATTCGTTAAAAGAGTTCGGCATATCAGCCGATACCGATTTCTTAACCGATATATCATACATTAAACTACTCTTTACTTAGCCACCCACTTAGCTACCTCAGGTGTTTTGACCATTGCTACTGTAGCAAGCAAAATGTAACCGTTACAGAGTGATCTGCACTACAAAACAGGGTTGAGTGTTCCAAGAGCATCACAACGCAGATTGAGTAACGCTTCCTTTATGGATATTAATGTGCTTTTCCCTGGACATCCTATGCTTTGAAAACTCTTGTGACGGCTACTGCCCTGTGCACCTTTCAACAACATTTCAGCAGGAGAGCGTGCGCAACCTGGAAGTAAGAGCATCTTTAAGGATTTTCCCGATTATAATAGATTTTAACCAATTCTGACATTACAGATCGATGCACCTTAATCAATTTATCACAATGCATCGATGCATCTTTACACCCACAGAAGACAATAAACCTGTGTTCTATAATTCATAAAACATGACTGTATGTGTAGATCTTCATACAGTAGTCGATTTATGTCCATTGAGTCCATATCCAAAAAAATCATCTCCCTGTACTCTAATTACTCAGGGTTTGTAATCTCAGTTTTTTCTACAAATGCTTGGTAAAGAGCGGTTGGCAAGTGCTGATGGGCAACTTTATTAAACTGGTGGTTTCGTACCTCAATTCATAAATAGGAGGAAAATACATGAAACATGCATTTTTACTTCCATATGATGTAGGGAGCGGTGGATGTGGGCAGCGGTGGCTTAATGGTTAGGGAAGCGCACTTGTAATTAAAAGACTGCAGGTTCGAATCTCTGACCAGCAAGGTGCCACTGAGGTACCTTGAGCAAGGTACCGCCCCCAAGCACTGCTCCCTGGGTGCTGAATTAGTTGCCCCCTGCTATGTCACATAGTCACACATGGGTTAAATGCAGAGGACACATTTCGTTCGTTGTCAACGATGACCACTGATCATTAAATTGATTTAAATTATCTTAAATACAGACAGCAGTAGTAAAACAAAAAAACTGCCTCAGTTAATACCCAGATGCATAATCAGGCGTAAATTCAAACCAGGCAGCAACATCAAGCACAACTATCAAGCACATGACTTACAGGAATAGCAATCCCTGATCAGCTTGAGTAACCGTTTATGTACAGTTAGGTTTACATTTGCCATGATTTTATCAAATGAAAAATGCCACAGTGATGCAAATGTATTCAGCAGAATTCTGCAAGAGGCATCATCCTACAGAATCAGCCTTTACATGCAGCTGTCACTAACTGACATGGAAGTACAAAGAGGACCACTGTAATTAACTCTAATGAATGACGGGTCTTATGGTACCAGCAATACTACACAAAGTCAAGCGTAGTTCACATCAGCTGGACTAAAATCTCCAGGAATATGGGAGCTTAAGACAGATAACCCCTAACCCAGCCCTAAGATCCCCTTACTCATAACAGGCAAGTAAACTGCTATATTTAAACATCTTACAATTATTACATTTTCAAAAGCTTTCTATTATATCCTTTATGACACATAAAGTGTATTACATGCTCCAGTATAAATGAAAAAAGCTCCGTCTCACTGTCTCCTCAATCCAATTGAAAATCTTTTGGTTTGTGATCTGCTTTTATTACATTGTCAAAGCAGATAAACACTAAAAGTATGTCAATGCAGTGCCAGGTACTTGGTAATAGGTATACAAGATTTTGTAAGTGCTTTAACTAGCTTCAGCTCATTTACAGATGCTACTGAGATACAGTTAAATAATACTTATCCTACAATCAATCAACAATTATTTTACTTAGATTGGGCTGCAGAGAATCGTGAACATTTCAGTTTTTCTGTACATAGTGCCCAGTAATAGTATAAACAGATCACCAAATAAAGTTAACGCAGATGTTTTATATGAGTATAAGTAAGGACTTAGACTGCAACAACACATGCATCTTCAAAGTTTAACAGATCTATTCAATAATTATATCAATTACTAACCTATGTGGCATGTGCCCTGTACTCTTTGAGGCTAAATTGCTGTGCCTCACTAGCTACCCAGAATGACAAATATTGCATGTGTCTGCATCAGACACTTTATTCTCATGAGACCTTGTCATTTTCAGATGTGCTACAATGCAAATATTCTTCTACAATCCAGAATTCTTGCCAAAATGTTACTACGGAATGTTGTTTTGTAAACAGTGTGAAAGCTGCAGAAAAAATTACTTAAATTCTGTTTTGTTCACGGGGCACAAAGTTTTCTGTGCATGAACATATTAAATCATGATGGGACCTAGAAGACATTCAAACTCCACACAGGCAAACCTGAGACAGGATTTGTGTAAATAAAAGACTCCATAATGATAATTAACCAAATGTGTGTCTATATTCCTGTACTTTAACCAAAACATTTAATTAGCAGACTTGGACAGTGTATACAGACAACACCACCAGCACAATACTATAGTTTAGGAGCGCACCATGAAAATGACATTTTCCTAACACTCCTCATCCACCATACAATGACAACCAATATGAAAAACCTATATTCAAGAAATTAGCATACAAGACACTGAAAGGAACCACAGAATGTCCATTCTACTCATCAACTACAGTTGCCTATACAGCTCTGTAGACAAGATGACTATCTAGTATCTATAAGAAACCAGTAACGTACTATACTAGTCCCTACTCCAGTTTGAATGACGTGCACCCTTATCCCCGTTGGTGTATATATGCATACCTCCTAAGCACTGAAGGTCTAAACTCCAAGAGCAATAAGAACTAGAAATGTATCTGTACATGAATTGCATTTGTTTTATTTAAAAAGAGAAATAAATAGATTAAAATAAGTTGTGCGTAAGGGTGCCTGCAAGTAACATGATAACAATAACATGCCTCTTAATAGGCCGATGCATTTCCTGTTACCACAATAAAAAACACACACAAAATAAAAATAATACCAGAACAAAACCTGAATTTTTGTTGAGCTAGAAAAGAAACGCGTGATGTATTTTATCCGGCTTTAAAGAGCGTCTCGCTTAATCCCGCTCCCAAAAAGAATCCATTCAAATGTAAAGTAAGCAAATGCATTGTAGCGATAGAACAATCTATAACTTCAGTTCAGCAAAGATACTGCCTGGGGTTAAGAATCACTTTCCCCGCTTAACACCATCTTCTTTAGCAGTAAACCCTAGACATTACAGATCGTCTGTCTGCGCCGCTCTCTCCGCCAGAAATTAACGAGCTCCAAACGTGAAAGAAAATAAAACCCGATCATTTATAAATAGATGGGAGAAAAATCGTGTATAAGAGCCTTTAATTAGAATGCAAGGCACAGCAAAGTGAGAGCTGGTGGTCAGCCAAAGCGGATCGCCCTGACGGTAATTTTAAGAGCTTACAACTCGCATTATAATGAGACGTGCGCGTCCCCCCGCCTCGCCTCGCGCGCCAGGCATCAATCACGGCGCCGCTGCCCTGAGGAGCGCAAAGGACTCCTCTGGCACTTTCCGTGCCTCATTGCACAAGACAGCCCACAGCTGCTTAAACACATCCAGCCAACAAGACTGAACCCCACAAACTGATAAACCACAGCTGAATGACACGGATATACTCTCCCCACATTGCCACACATATATTATAGCTGAATTGGCCGTGAAGAGTTTTGGTTTGCCCGAGATATGCCGTGTCCCCGAGCCAGTGTATGATGGTAACTGGATTATATAAGGGTTTTACTTTTATTGTTCCAACTGAATAATCTGGGTATGTCAGTTACTGGAAAGCACTCTAAATCAGGACATAACCAGAAAAACATCTTACATTTCTAATTTTGTTATAGAAATATGACCAATTTTGAAATAGCAGCTCATAAACACGAAATATTGCATAACCTCCATGAAGATTAATCCCACCCGAGAGAAGAAATATTACTTTATCAACCAAATATAATTACGACAAGAGCAAACAAATGATAGGGACAGCCATAATGAGTAACTAACAAGAGTTTAGTTTTTCCATACAAAGCATATACAGTACGGTCGCAGACGTGATATCACCAGACTGAACGGTTTAAAAGGAGTTTTTTTTTAAATACAACGCCAATGGGGTTCTTGCCGACAAAACAGTAGACTGCATGTTCTTGAAAGAAAGACGGTAGACGTAAATAAAATTTATGTGAATTTAGCGATTGTCTGGAGGGAGATAATAGGGATCAGTTATCGCCCTGTGGTCACGTACACCACCGGCTCCGTTCTGTATTTGTTACAAAGTACATGTCAGTCACTGGCAGTCCCAGCATTGTGCGCTTACGTTGAACATGGCAATAAAGGCATATGGCCGTATTCTGGAGCCAATGCACTTTTAAGGAGGGAAATAAACCGATGGTGGCTATGTCAATGACCGGTGGGGTATAAACATGAAGACCATAAAACCCGAAAATATTAACAAGCCATTTATCGTGATATGGAGCTAGCCAGCTACATCGAAACAGTACTGTTTAATAACATGTTATTTCAGAAGTTGCCAACCTAAACAAAATACAAATAAATGATTACATTATTTCCAGGTGCCAATCCAGGTTGGGAGTTGAAGACGGCGCTTTTGCATTTAAGTATAAAATGTATATTTTAATTACATACCTTGGCATAAGACGTGGGCATTCTGGTAACCAAGACGAACTGAAACATTCCTAGAATAACTTGAAGCTTAATCCCCATTGTTAATGTTTCCAAAAAAGGACACCAAGTGAAACCCTTTCCGTAAATTAACTTCTTCGTTTGTTGTCCTTTCTTCTTTATTCCTCCTTATTAAAATTTATGAGCAACTATACGTATAGGCTATGGTTAAAGCCATAACATCCATCGCAGCAGGGATTAACCGGAGGATAAAATTTCCAAACCGCGGCATGTACTCACAGCCTCTATCATACCACATTGCACACACAAATGATAAGCCCGCATTAATTTATGTTCCACTTTAAAATGTGTCCTGTCAAACGCGCAGTTAATTTCATTCAGCGTAAAACAGCCCCGATGCTATTACATCGTTTCCGTTTTAGTACCATGCCGAAAAACATTTTTCTACCCAAACGAGCGGTATTCCGGTATCCACCTATAGCCTTTTTCAGAAGTCAAAGGGTTATCTTTACGAATTACTGCGCGTAGTTGTATTTACACTTATGGAATAAGGAGGAGTTCTGGATATCTGAGGAGCGAATTTAATTCTAGCGAGGTAGCTAGGCATAAATGACCGAGGACGCGTCAAAGGTCACTGAACAGTATAAACAATACGAGATTTATTTTCCCAAAATTGAATTCGATTAAAATCCGTGGCAATTGGTTTGAATGATGTAGTTATTCCAGGCGTATATCTTCCTTGATCCTCCTCAATAAACCGGTTCCGGCTATGAATCCACTCCGGGTAGCTAGCAAATTTAAGGGCAGATCAGAGTTGAGACCCCTGCCTCAATTTGCGCTCTACCGGGCATCAAGGATTTACAGTTTCTTCCTTAAAGCGCAAACTTCTCCACGTTTTAGATGACTGGGGTGGTATTTTTTTAACTGTACGCCCGATGAGTAGGAATACTTGAAATGAGAAAGTCGATTCCTCAAAAATGTCATGCAATTTTATTTTGCCCTCTGGAACAAAAATAAAAGCGTGCGGCAAGTAAAAAACCGCACATCGGCCGTCCGTCTTATTTTTGGTATTGAAGAAAAGCACTCCAGGCTTAGTAGTTACAGGTATACCAGTGCCCTCAACCTGTTCGCCGGTCAGTTATTCTCACTGCACTTTCGCTTCTCTTTCCTTCTCGTATTTTCTCTTAATTAGGTGGTTTAGACGAAGGGAGGCGGATGAAGTGGGCGGTTGGTGCGTATCTGAAAACCTGAGTCCGGTTTATAAGTCGCCTTTCCTCCTGTGTGTCTCAATTAGACTGCCGGTGTTTCACCTCCCGCTGCTTTAAACACACCTACAGCGCTCGCATTAACGAGCTAAAGCAAACAGAAGCTCGTGTGTCACTGGTATTTATTAACAGGAAAACACACCATGCTTAAAACGGTTATCCTATTATCATAATATTCCAGGCAGTGTCTCTGAAAGACAGACATTCTGTAAGAAAACATTTTAAAATACTTTCTACAACATTTTTAAATACTTTTTACAACATTTTAAAATCCAGCAGATTCAACAAGCACAAGATTAGCAGTAAATGTCAATTCCAACAGAAGAAGTGAAAGACAAAGGCTTGAAGGGATTTTAATTATTTTAAGCATTTATGGCCATGTTCATAAATAATTAATTCAAATTTATGCTACATTGCATTACATTTAAACATTTACTGTTAAGTGGTACTCAAATTTAAGCACTTAGTTCTCCAAGTAATGTCAACACATTTTGGATTTACAGCATTTGTTTATTCATGCAGAACTATATCCCAGGTCATACATATTCCTGACACTGAAGGGCCTTGCTGTGTGGCACAGATATTCAACCAAGGTGAAGATGGTACCTCATTCTAATTACGTGTGAAAATTAGCTCAAAGAATAAGTGTGTACAAAACACTGCAGGTTCTGAGTACAACACGTACTAAAAGCCACAAGAATGGGGTGGACACAGGCTAGCAGCTGTGTGTCTTGGGTCCCTCGTTCATCCGTGTTAAAAGTTATGACTGGAACTGAAAGTCATACAAGTCAGCGTTTCCCAACCCAGTCCTCAGGGACCCACAGACAGTCCATGTTTTTGCTCCCTCCTGGCTCCTGGTTGATGCCGAGCCAGTATAAAGACAATTAAGGACACAAACACTCCTTTCTCCTTTTATTTCATTGGCTAAGATATTTGCATTACTTAATTTATAATTTAACTTATTATAATCGGTACAGTTAAATCCTAACCACTATCATTGACCTTTTAATTTCTTTGAGGTTTCTTATTGGCAATTCAAGTCCAAGTTCCTCTCACTCATGTGCTTTCTAACCATTTAATATCCGAAGCTGGGTGTGCTTGGAGGTCTAAAGGGACAAAGGGTGTGCCTTCACCTTTTCTGCTTCAATGATGTAATCATTTGCCCAGTAAACACCTGCGGTTTCAGGAATCAGTCAGGTCATAATTCAAATCTCTGAAACCTGTAAAAATTCAGCATCATTGTGATAGAATCATGTTACGTTTCCCAAATCCCTCACATAACCATTTTCAATTAAATGTAACAATTTTCCACTCTTACTCTCCACTCAATCCACCCAGTTCCTGTGCTGGCATTTGTCACTCATAATACCCATAACACATTGTTCCCTGGTTTGCCCCCCCCCCTCCCTCAACGCCCCTACTGTCAACCCCCCAGAACCCAATTCTATTTGTTGCCTCCACCCCTGCGCCACTTGTATTTTTCAAGAAATTCAGCGTGTTTCTGCCTCAGGATCTCCGTCTGCTTCTGGAACCCATTTATCCTGAAAATTAATCACATGGTTGACAAATAATTACTATTATGGTCATCCTTTGTGAATATTTAATCACAATCAATAAAGACAGTCAATACACAAGCGCCACTGAAATTGACTTCCCTCAAATTACTGGCCAAAACCATTCTGTATTCTCTGCACTCACTAAATCAATAGCTCATAATTAAGAAGGGAGAGCTCTAACGTCATAAGGTAATTAAAAGAATGATTTTTAATCTCAGTTTAGCTTAATAAGGTTTGCATTAAATTGACTATATTGCTTTCAAACGTTTGAATCCAAAAAAAATATATTACTGAAAACAAAAGGGTGTCATTTCTGTCCATGCCTGTTTGACCTTGTAAAATGGACAAAAGCTACAATGATTCCCTTGTGTTGCATTCTATTCAATTTCTGATAGACCAATATGATGAGTCACAGCTCACGCGTGTGTCTGCGTGTTACGTCACTCACCTGGCTCTCTCTTTGGACTCGTTGTAAATCTGCGTGATCACTCTGTCCTTTTCGTCCATGAAGTTATTGTGCATCTCCTCTAGCTTCCTGGTCACAAGGTGAGGTCCACATGCACAAAACACAGACAGGAGCTGGAGATTAATCACATCAGCCAAAAGGGCACATGTGCAAATAAATTAAAAAAAAAAAAACGCCCATGTGGAGAGAAAGCAAGGTCAAGAAGTCAGTCCCTTCTGCCTTTCCCAAAACAAGGTGCTAAATTGCGGGGCCCTTAATCACAATGTGCCAGCCACTATAAGGCGGCAGACAAAGGACCTTGTTTTATTTCCCATAACCTGCCTTTAATAGAACTCCCCTCAGATGCTCACACGCTGGACACAGTCCATATCAGTTCATCCACAATGTTATTAGCCAGCCGTTTATAAAAACCCAGACACATCTGAACAGTCTGTCAATATTTTACTGCAGGCAGCAGTGCCGTTTCCTCACATTTTTTTTTTTTTTTACTGAAATCTCCAGATATGGCTTTGTTATTAAATCCAGTATCAGGAGTATCAGAAACGGAGGGGTCTGTGTGAAGCCCCACCGGACTCTTCTCTTTAAACAAAAGCAAGGCTGTTTAGCCTTTGGATGGTTCACACGGCACTCAAACATGAACAAACATTGAGCGTTATCATACTCTCGCACAGGTAACAATAACATACATGCAGAGACATTAAGTAAACAATGAAACATAAACAACATGTAGCATTTTCAATGTTTCCCTGGCTGGGGCAGCTGCAGGGGGGATTCAGGCAGCCACGTCTCTGGGTTCCACAGGGACTCTGGCACCTTAATTGTTGTTGTTTTTTTTTTCTTTTTTTTTTAACTAACCTACTCATCTAACCCAGTTGTTGCATAAATTTCACTACCATGTCAATGCTAAAGACAGGAAACCATGGATTCAGCGACATAACTTCAAAGTTCCCATTTTTCATCCCCAATCTATTCCCAGATTCGTGTGGGGACATCTTTTAGTTCATATAAAATGTTTTAAAGCTTTTAAAACTTTTGTACTTTGAGGCAAAAAATGATTTTATGTTATATTACGTTATTCTACCATTTATACTTTTATTACGTTATTCTACCATTTCAAACGTGTTTCTATTATCCTGTATTTCCACAAATGCGAGACAACTGAAAACAGTATCTACTAATTTAAACAAAGTCCGGGACATAATTTCGATATTTCTACTCAATGTGTAAAAACATCTATTATTTAACAATAATAACCATAATAATAAATCTGCTTGTTCCCACCTGGAAAGACTATAAGCACCCGTACCAGGCAAATTTATCTAACCAGACTGACAATAAAGTGTGAAGTAAAAAATAAGAATAACATGCACAAGGCCTTTGAATGGTAAGTAGTTTGTGTACATCACTAAAGCGGCTATCAAACATGCACTGCCATCCTGAACTTTTCTAGACATCACCCCGGGGGGCTGTATGTGTGGAGGCAAATGCCCAAACCAATCGTACCGGGCGCTAAATGGACTTTACCCTACTAGTTCCCTAGCACAAAGTCCAGGAAATTTCATATTGACTCCTATGTGTGAATGAAGCTGGGAGAATTCCGGAGAGTTCACTTCGAGCGTGTGGGCGTGTTGATGACGTTTCTATTACGCGACTGGTGCAAAAACAGAAGAGCAGAAACGTCCAAGGGTGAAGAAGAGGGTCATTTACAGGAAGAAGATCCCAACGAACATGGCTGACTGGAGAGACGAGGAGATTCGGGAACTTCACTCAGAAGTGCTGTAAACAAAGCGCTGTAGTTTCAGTGGCATACTTTTTGCATGACCTCCTGCCACCTGCATTCTCTACCCAAGCGCCACCTCTAGTCTAAACCAACTGGAGTATTTCTAACAAGTGCGGATGCATCTGACACGGACAATCTCCAGCTGCATGTCACATGTGTGAAAGGGCAACTCCGGAAAATATCCGGACCTTGTGCTACAATGTCCAGAGCTTACAAGCGAGAGAACAAAATAACCTGAAAATTCAAGCTGACATGTGGTTTAATTTACCCCAAAATAAGCAGTGATCCATTTTGTCTGATTGTCACTTGTGCATAACCTTTGGTACCTGTCACACCTCTTACAAATGGCGTCATTACATTTGAACGGAAACCTGCACAAAATCTTTAACATGGTCCTCACCTGATCTTACTATACATGCATGTTTTTCTGAGTATTTATGACAATCCATAATAAACAACATTAATTCCAAAAAAGTGATGCTCATGCCATCAGGTTGGTCGCAACTCTACTCATGCGACTCTACAAAAGACTGTCAATTTCAGAAATTTAAATTCACAGCCTGCGCAAAGGGCTGCAATCCTTTTAGATTTATCAAGGTATACCTGAAGCCGAAGTAGTGGATGCAAACACTGGCAAGCATGCCGAGGACGCAATAACCGACGAGGCGCATGTTCTGCTTCTTCTGCCGCTGCCGGTGCTCCGCGGTGTTCTCCTGAGGTGGGGCGTAGCGAAACTGCTCCCAATATCGCATCCGCTCCGCATGCTGCGCACTCCTGGGGGGAAACAGCGGGAGCCGCTCAGTGGCCCCAGCAGAAGGATCGCTGGCATCAATAAGGGCCTTCACACAAGAACCATCTATCCATCTGTATTTATCCGGCCTTACACAGGGCCACTAAAGCCTAATTGTGGATTGTGAAAATAAGGACAAGGTACATGTCAGTGTCTGACTGACTGTAAGTGCTGCTCCTCTCTCTCACCTCGATGGCGGCTTGGAGGTGTAGCCGTATGCTGGGCTGAAAGGTTCCCCACCATGATATCGGTATCGGATTCGTAGATCGTACTCCCTCCTGGACTCCTCGCGGATCAGCACTCTGTAGGCCTCATTCAAGGCCACAAACTGACTGTGCAAACTTGGGTCGTCGGGGTCGCTGTCTGGATGTAACTGCCAGACCACAGGAAAGGGAGGTGCTGGTTAGAGGCGGCCAAAGGAATTATGCCTGAAGCCAGACGAAAAAGGTACAACTGCAGGCAGCTTATCAGGGCAGACAAGCAGGCAGACAGCGTAAGGAAACACAGGGGAGGGATAACATTGAACTTCCTCTCTTCACATAGAATAATGTGAAACTTCCAGCAGGACATGCTTTGCCGTCAGTTTCTGCATGTTTTATTACGCAATCAAGAGGAGGGAGTCAATGACACGGCATGTCGTCAATACGCAGGACAGACGTATGCATGTAAAACTGGCAATGATTAATTTTCTGAGCCAGACAGTAATTGTAAATATCTGGGCCAGAGGCAGCGAGACTGGAAGTAGATGGAGAGTCATCAGATAAGGTGACTCAATGCTACAGTTCAACGGAGGAAAACCAGCACCATAAATCTACATTTAAAGGTCACATCTTCATATGCGAAAGACTGAATGGACCAACAAAAAAAAAACTGCTTAAGGTCTTTGGAGCCCCTAGTTCCTCTCGGTTCTTGTCATTTGTGGGGGCTTTATCTCATTTCCATCAGCGTTTTTCTACACAGGACAACACGCCCCTATCCAGCAGCCTCAGTCCCTCACCCCAGTCACGCTACAAATCAAAAGACACAGCCGCTCTATGACACCACACATACTGGCATCTCTCCCTCCAGCTCTGTCCAGACATCCAGACATACAGACAGATGCACATAATCTCTCTACAGATATGCAAACACACTCTGACACACACACACACAGCCCCTCCCACACATGTACCAACCACAGAATGACAATCGCTGACGTGTTGCCCCTCTACAGCCCTGTACAAGAGCCTCCTCATGTGGACAGTAGACAGAACAGCCCAGCAAGTGAAAATGCACGAAAGCTTGTGCGAAAGATTGATCGACTGATTGACTGATTGATTGACTTATTTGTTTGTTTATTCAGTTATTAGGCTGACACACATGTACAAATTTCAGTTGCAACAATTTAGCAGGGTTTACCTTTTTGGACTTGTTAAAAAAAGCATTCTTAATTTCCTCCAGTGAAGCATCTGGTTTCACTCCTAGAAGATCGTAGTAATTCAAAGCAGATCTGAAATAAATCAAAGGAAATAAAGTAGGAAGGATCCAGAACTATATACCTACATACATTTAAAAGCATAAATAAATGCATTATTAATATGAACTCAGTTAAACATACATAAATATTCTGGCATGTTCAAACCAACACTAGTTCATTTACAAGCACATGAAAGCATATGAAAGCTTACGCATATAAAAAATAACAATTACATCACATTTAAAGAATTATCACAAATTAGAAAATGGCATCTACTGTACAGCTGACCAACTACACATGACTGTTGCATGCTAACATGATATTCCAGTAAATGTCTGCTCTTTGTGGCTGGATAAAAGTTTGCTTTATTTCCAGAACTTCAACGTACAATCATAAATGGCAGAATAAACTTAAAGTACAGAATTAAAAAAATATCTTTGTCATATAACAGTTTAACAATAGGGATTGTAACTAGCTCAGTGTTGCTGAAAGAGGGCTTGTGAAAGCCTACATCCCATTCCTAATTGCATGAGAACTGGATGACCTCTGACCCGGGTCACGTTTACATAGCTCTCACCGCAGCACCGATGACATATCGGTGCGGTAAAGATCTACAGAAGTTTCGCTGAGCCACATACCCATTTAAAGTGCTGAGAGAGAAGAGGCGTGGTCCACCCTTACAATAAAGGAGACAGCGTTGACACAAGCGAAGATGCACTTCCAGCTGCATTACAGAAAGTAATGGCGAGCCAAGCTGAGGACCCACCTACGAAACAAACACAACCATTACAAGTGAGGCTTTGCCTGCCAAACTAATTATCTAATGTAACAAATGATCTCAATACAACTGGTTTTGATTATGTTGTGCTCTCAGCTAAGTATGAATATATTTCACCTTATTTAAAACCAGTTCTATGTGGAAAAATACGAATCAGCAATTAATCAACCAATCAATCAAAGTCTAAGGGAATTACAAAGTCAGTAAACTTTTTTGTTATATAAACATAGGCAAGCATTTTAACTACTATAATATCAAGATTCAAGCTCATTTGTCACATGCAGTTACACACGTACAAAATGCAGTGAAATGTAACCCTGAATGACCCCTGAGACTGCCTGTTGGTGTATAATAAACACAGATAACTAAAAATATAATAGCTTAAATATAACAGAAATATAACGAATAAGCAATATGTAAATGTATTAAATAATATGAAATATAAATAAACAATATGTATTAAAACAATTAAGATTAAAAACTGGCATAAAAGTGGCAAAAGCAGTTGCTGGTTTTACAGCATCAGTTTTTTCAGCGAGGGAGACGTACATTTCTTTCCGTTTGGTCATATGTTGGAACGTGATTTAAAGAACAAAATTTATAAAATATACCCAAACAATGATTTTTAAAGGATGTGCGTAAAGGCGTAGATGAGAACTGTCACTGTTGCCAGTTGTTAAATCCCGGGGTCATTTTGCAGGTGAGAATATTTCTGCACTGCAAGTTGGCAATCGGTGTAGTGCAAACTTGTACAATGCAACAGGAAAGAGAAGAATTTGATCAGAATCCAGGTTAAACTTTATTTAGTGAAATACAACCTGCTATTATACATTGTCGTACTTAGCGACCAATTTAGCCACTTAGACGGTTTAAAAATTAGACAGAAATCTGTATTTGGGAGACAAACATAATCTTCGTTACTGCATAATCACACATATAAACCAAGTTATATAACTAAATGTTTCTACGGAGGTGGCCATGATCGAAATGGCCACATAAACAAATTTAACTGCAATGGTCACAGATATGACATGTTAGAACTGCTAAAACAGCGGAAATGAAGATGTCCTGATGGACTACAATACAATAATTTAAGGGACATTTTGCGCGTTCTACTTACGTTTCACTTCATTATGAATATGCGAGGTTGAATGTGTGACGTGGGCGAATAACGTAGGAGTCACGCGGTGCTTGGAGAGCTTAACCCTTTCACGGGGTGTTACGCTGTATACCTCAAAGGCCATTGTTAAGTTTCATTCAACGGAAAGAAAGCATATAGCTGACCGTTCTCGTATTTCCATTCAGTTTTGTTTATTTGCTTTTTAGCTTACTGCTTCCGCGTTTCACTGCCACTGTGGACTATCTAGGGGATCGCTCTGCTTCTGAATCCCTTCTAATGACGTTTCTTCTTTAAAAAATAAAGAGTATACTATCCTACTATTATCATAATACACCAAACGTAGGGTGAACTACTGTCATTTACATTACCCATATGGAATCCTTGGTAGCTTAGCAAATGAAATGTAAAAATAACATGTAGCAATATACATCACCATATACGTCAAACGGCTCAGCATGACAATACTTAAAACGTTCCATCATCATAAAGTATTTCTTTCTAAACACGTCACATTTTTTTCATTCTGCGAGTGGGGAAAATGTAGACTGACTTGGCTGCCAATATGACCTTCACCAGGAGGTTCATAGTGAACATGTATCTCAATAAATAGTGAACATGTATCTCATTCATAATCTGATGTGATGATATAATATAATGGCATTACGAGGTGTAACATATACTGCATGCATGTTGAAAACTCCTTTTATGTACTTAAAGGCACAGGCCACTCATTTTGCTGTATTATTTTACAATAGTTTTGCTTCTTTCTTTAATCCCATGCATTCTGAGTTGCTAACTTGATAAAGATCCATAGTTCATGATAGCCAAGTTTTAGTGCATTCATACATTCTTCTATCACCAAATGTCCTATATTCATGCAGGAATTGCAATGCAGTTAAATATCATCCCTGAACTGCTTGGCTAGAATAAAATGGATATAATATGGAAAATAGTTAAAATCTCAACACAAAAACCACCAGACATAGGAGCAGCTTCTTCCCTCAGGCCATCACCCTCGCAAACAGCTAAGCTGTGTCACCTGCCTTCTGTCAATTTCCCCCGTTTGCACTCTACCTCGCACCTTAAACTTGCACAGTGTTACCCACGTGTGTATATTTATAATGTTTCACATTTGTATTTCTTGTATAGTGTCATTTATTGTCTGTGTACTAGAGAGTCTCAAGCTGGCGGAAACAAATTCCTTGTGTGCCCAAGCACACTTGGCGAATAAAGCTGATTCTGATTCTGATTCTGAACATAAACACAAATAATTTAAACGCTTATAATATAATATAATATAATATAATATAATATAATATAATATAATATAATATAATATAATATAATATAATATTTCAGCAGGTGGATTGACATTGTAAGTGACATCACATTCTAGTTGTTATCACATGCGTCGCATACAACTTCGGCATTGTTTTTCGTATCTAGTCCTGAGGATGTAGCCAATGGGAAACGATGAAGAAAAGCGGAAGGTAAAGGTGGAGCCAATCAAATGTAAATATCGCTACTTCCGCGTCGCATGAGTAACGTCAGCGAGGATACCTCTGAGGTATGTCATTGCGCCGTGTGTCGGTACGATTCCGGTTTGTTGGTTCTTTTTATATTGGTTATTTTTTAGTTGTCTTTTGCAGAGGTCATTTTTCCCCATCAAAGGAGATCAAAACTAGACAACTGTCCAGTTTATATTCTGTGCGTAGCTAGGATGATAATAATCATAACTGCGTTATCGAGGAGTATCACACATTTATCAATCCGTTGAGGAAAATGTTCGTTTTACAATTGACGAGATAGAAGCTAAATATATTTGAATCTATCCTGCATCATTAGATGAAAGCTTTATTCATTTAAAAAGTACAGTTTTGAAACCAAACAATCCAAATTTCTGAGAGGTCGAACCAAAAGCAGAAGGGATACTTCGAAATGGCATTTTCTGAAAACAACAGCACGGCATATTTCAGCAAAACTGTTTAATATTTTATCAGTGAAAACTGGTTGAAATTATACTACTTGGAAGTTGAGGAAATACTAGATCGGTCTGACAAAATGCATACAACAACACGGTACTATTTTTTTTAAAGGATAAATCTTTTTCCTCACAAGTTATTGTATATTATTGTCCAAATCTACGGAGGTCTATAAATATAAAGCTCAATTTTTCGTAAAGTGTAGAGAGCAATTTAAAAGAATAGGCTGGTAATGTCTGCCCTTGAAAATAGCTATAGAGCAGTTCTGAAATTATGTATGATGTCCTTGAGTATTTATAAATATGTGATGTACTTTGCATCGTGAAGGTCGGTTTTTACTTCGCAAAGAAACACCTCAGGGATTTATCAATGCAAATACAATACTCTACGAAGAACATCTTAACGGTACTTATCAATGATGAGCCCCTTTTAGCCTAACAAGGGCATATCTAGACGCCATTCTTGTTTATGAATAGGTATGCAAACATTGGTAAAACAGAACAGTAACAGTGTTTCTTCTGAGGCTTGAACTTGGAATCTGATCGTTGCAAAATTATTTTGCCAATTGGTTTCTTTGGTTTTTGTAACAAAACTCCAAATAATACATAAAGAGAATATACCTAAACAGCACAAACTGTTTACTTATGAATACATATTGTAGTATATAAAACAATATATTTTAAGTAAATTCTAAACATTAGTTTGCAGAAAACAAAAGTGAATGAAAAAGGCTTGGTATCACTTTACTTGACAGGGCACAAATACATAGTAGTAACTTAGTTACTACAGAAGTATAAATCATGTAGAAATATAGTAACTAGTTGAGAAAAAGGATGGGTCATGATTCATTAATGATGAACAAACATAAGATCAGTATTTCACTTGTTATTCATTTAGTAGCTCCTTCAGTAATTCACTAAGTCATACAGAATTAGATATAGTAATAAATACAGTAATTGCTTGACATAAAAGATGTCATGATTCATTAATGATGATTGAACATAAGATCAGTATGTAATTAAGACTTAATTTGTGGTTAATTAATACCTAAGTAATAGCATAATATTACATCATCTGTGCCCCCTCAAGTAAAGTGTTACTAAAGGTTTGTATTAAAAAAATCCACTCAGGATACTCTTCCAAAGGCCTGATTCTAGGGGTGTCCCAGAGAGTTTAGTCTACTGGAAGAGGCCTGTATTCCATTCCCAGGTACTGCTTGTTCTCCTCATTCCACCCTGCTGGTTTAATATGTGTACGATGCATAGAGACTCATAAGCTTTTGTTCGTTTGCATGTTATGATATAATGTATCGCACTGGTCCACATGATGTTGTTGCTTCAATCAGGACGAGGTCAGGTACACAACTCCTAGGTGCTGACAGTTTACAGATGGCAGCATTGGAATGCATTTGGGTAATTTTGTTGTGATGTTCCTACATTTCCTGTATACAAACAAGGCCAGTGGATTAAATAAATAAGAAAGTAAAGAGTCAGCAAAATTAACCCTATATGATAAATCCTCCCTAATGGCATATGTTGGCCAGATACCTGTTACATTTGTCCATTTACTGCACTTCTCGGTTTGGCTATTCTTAGCTTGTTCATTTATGTTGATGTGCAAAATTTAGATCCTGATATGTATCTAATCGACATTTTAGCCATTCTCAGCGTTTCTGTTATAGAGGAAAAAGAACGGACATCATCAGCGGGCAAACTGCCTGCAGTGGAGGGAGACGCAGCGTGAATATCAGCGTGATGGATCCTGAGGTATCAGTGCTTCTACACTGCACACCTTGGAAAGGCTTGAGAGAAGGACAAGTACGAGTGGAGCTCTCCACCAGGTTTGCACCCTCTGCTTCCTCAGCTTCCTGTATTGAAGAGCTAACCATTTACCCTTTGAACAGGATGATTGTTTTTCATGCCATGATGTCACTGGGTGGATTGCAGCACAATAGTGTGATATGTTACAACTTTGTCCTACATAATGAAGAAATAAATGCCCCTCATGTGTATCACTAATGGAAGGTCTGCTAGACTTTCTTTCCCAATGGCTCACAGGTACAACCGCCATTGCCTGCCAGGGCTCGAGCGGCAGATTGAGGAGGTATGGAGAGAGCGAGTCACCCGTGAGCCCTGGCTGTTCAACGGGGCTAAATTCAGGCTGCATTCAGCCACTTTTACACCCAAGCTCCAGAACAAACCTGAATCAGATGTCCACAGCACGCTCTGTCTGCCACCGGGTCAAGCTGGATGCAACGGGCCACAAAAGTGGGTCAGTGGTGCCGAAGGGGGAGGGGCAGCACAACAAAGAGGCAAGACTGGGCCAGACCAGACACAAAGAACCACTGAAAATACAAATGGGGCAGGAGCATGCAAATGTAGAGACAAGAAGACAGTAGATGTGCTGAACAGCGTGAGCTTGCATGCGTACACATGGACACATGGCGCGGTAATGCATTCGACAAATGTCGGTGAAGCCCAGAGGGAATCATCACATTGTCCCGGCACGCTAAGAGATGTGGGGAGCCACAAACGCCCCGTTCTCACCCTGCACCTTGGCCTCACCTGCTACAAGGACTTCCTGGGGACCAACTGGTCCAAGAATGTTGGGGACCTTGTGAGACGGGGAACAAACCAATTTGGGGACCCAAGTTCTTTACTGGCCCAGCCCTTGGGGGTTGGCGCGGTTCTGCGGACCTCTGACAATCTGGTGGTGTTTCTCAGAAGGAGCCAAAAAGTGGCAGAAGCATCGGGACTTCTGGACATTCCAGGAGGACATCCAGAACCTAAGGCGAGTTCATAGTGTAGGGTCAACAGGTACTATGACTACTGTATATGCGTGATACTGCATTTAGGATATTTACTAATAAGGACATATTTTACCAATACATAATGACCAGAATTCCAGATACCTGAGTGTTTATCAATAGCTAATCTCCTGTGCATGACATTGGGTTGTCCATCTGCAGGCTGTGTGCATGGGGGTCAACGAGGATAGCATCCGGGTGGAACAGTTGCCACAGGAGGCTGTAGTCAGAGAGCTCTTCTCCTCTGTTCAGGCCGAGATCCGGGATGAGGTGAGGGCACCCCTCTGGTATAGTGCTACTTCCTTGTACATGACAATAATGTCCGTAGGAGGCCAGCAGAGCCAAGTTCCGCTCTTTGTTTTCAGGTGAACATTCCCCTCAGCTGCCTCAGCGCGCCTATCCTCATGGGCATCGCCCTTAATCACACCAGTGCCGGCCGACCCAGCGCCGAGTTCTACATTAGGTACTGCGATATCTCTAGACCTCCATGTGGCGTGTGAAGCAGAGCTGTTTGTCTTAAGTATTACAGTGACACTAAATCATTCTCCTTTTTAGCTGCTCCCTCACTGCCCAGGAAGTGAAGGATTTCTACTTGCAAGGTGGCCCAGAAGCCAGCGAGTCCACGGATATCGTCTTTCTCAGTAGACAGGTGAGGAGGAGACTTTGGAACAAAGGGCAGCCTTTTCTTATGTAAAGTCCTTTTACTTGATTCAGGTAAAGGAAATAGTTATTTAGGCTTACCCTGTCTATCGATAAGGCCTTTGTGGTTGGTAGCCTATCAAAGCATGTCAGATTTTTAATAATAATAATCCTTTATTGGCCATTGCACCAGTATAAGTACAGGTACATAGGAATTATTCTCTTTGCCTACCCCATCTTGCTCTCCATAGCTTGGGGGTCACAGCACAGGGTCAACCAACGTGCAGTGCCCTGGACTGGGGGGGTTAAGGGCCTTGCTCAAGGGCCCATGGACACGGGCCTGTCTGCTGAGGCTAGGGCTAGAACCAGTGACCTTCCGATCCTGGGCACAGAGACTTAGCCCGCTGAACCTCTGTAACGACTGTAGTAGTTATATGTTGGCTAATACTTCTGTGTCAGCATTTCATCAGAGAATTTATCATATTTATGGAAAAACTATTGGCTTTTGCTATGCATGAAAATATGTAGTTTTTTGAGGCTGGATTCCAAGACTTTGGCAAGAAAGAGGACGACATACAGGAGCTCCTGCTGCCCCTTCACATAGGCTTCCAGCAAAAGGGATTTCACATCCAGGTCCTTAAAGAGCCAGAGAAAAACCTGACCAAATGCTCTAGGCTGCCTTAAAGTATAAATACAGTAGTCCAGGAATGATCACAGTGCATATCTATTAGACCTCCTTTTCTCATTGACCAATGCATAAGGGACATGACATGATTGATTTTGCTTGCACTGATTAATGGGGGCTGATCTCTGTTCGCCTGACATGTTTGTGTGCTGGCTCTGTAGGAGGTGCTGCAGTTGAACGAGGGCGCCCCCCTGTGGTCTGATCTGTGTCCATCTGCAAAAGGAGCAGTGGTGCTGTATCGCCTTGTTCTTCCTGACCAGGACTGACTGGCAGTAGAGGGTGGCAGCAGAGCCAAGATGTGAAAAACAGTTAATAGGTTTAAATAAGTGCAAAATCAAGCACAGAAACTCAGGACAAATGCAGTAAAGAGAAATGGATATATGATCTCATTACATCATAAGTTATAAATGTGTGCTGTACATATTCTTTTCATTAATAATGAGTGTATATATTGTTTAAAGCAAACAACACATGGATTTAAATATATTTTTGTACATTTTCTTCATGCAGCGTGATCTTTGAGCCAATGCTAAATTTGTACCTCAAAAGAATAATTACCATAACATAAATTTTAAAATGGTATCTCATGGTAAATTCTCCAACCTGGACAAAAAAAGAACCATTAATATTAGAAATCAAACAGCAAGGCTTTACAGTTGATGAAAGTATGATTGTGCCATTGATAAGGAAGCTTCCACTGGAGTGACAGATGAAGATCAGAGTGGGAGCTGGAGTGCTTTTCAACAATCAAACACTGCAATCGTTTCATTCAGATTATCCGGTTGCCATGGAACAGCTCGATGAGTGAAATAGCAGCTGCTGTGAATTATTACATGTACCAGTAAATGTGTTTTAACTGAAACCAGTAACACCAGTATACTCGTGCAGCCTAATACTCTCATGAGTAACTACCATGAGTTCTGAAGTGTCCAACTGTATTAGGGGTCTGTATATTTTGTTGTAAGACAGGGAGGTACTAATGTTGTTTTAGGTCGGTCATGTTGAGCCATCAGGTGGAAGCAGTTAAGGAACTTGATTTCAACATAATTTGAAGATTAATATATTAAAACTAACCCGTGTTGTTGGGTGAAGAGCATACCTTGAATGTTCCCCGGATATGTAAGCGGAAAAATTTTAAACTGAATAAACCAAGCTACATGGAATAAATTATGTAAAATATGCATAATTGTACAATGTGCAGCTGCTACAGCCAATTGGTGAAGGTGGTCAGTTAGATAAGCATTGTGGGTAAAATGGAGAATTTGCAACATTGGGACTGTCAGTGACTGAGCAAAAAGTTGCTAGGCTGTGCCAGGCCACAATTCCAGACTGGTAGAAAAGTTACTCTTATCCACCTTGTTTGTCAGCTTAACCTTGCACAGTTGATACAAGGGCAGGCTATAGTTGGAGAGCTACTGATGTGAAGTGTTGAAACAAAATCCTTAATGTGAAGCACTGCAGAGATGAACAATGGATGGGGACGACAGTTCAAAGGTAGGTAGGAGGTCCTCGATACACCCAATACAAGATATTGACCAATCATAATGGAACAAATCATTTACACTTTACAATTGACCCTTCTTCATCGCGACTTTCCCCATCTTGTGGTTGGCATACAAAGTTAAATGGGAATTTTTTAGGAGTTTTGCGAGAGCCATGGACAACACACAAAAAGCTCAGCAAGTCATAAATGCATTAACAACAGGGTTGGGGCCATTCCGGAATGCATTCATCAATTCCAGTCCGAATCAGGAAATGGAACTGGAGTTGGAATTTAAATCTCCCTGAAATTCGAATTCAATTCCAATTCTGTTCTCCATAGTTTTTTTTCCAATCACAACTCCAGTTCCATTTCCTGATTTGGACTGGAATTGATGAATGCATTCCGGAATGGCCCCAACCCTGATTAACAATATGTCCAGTGCAGGTCTGTTGGACACCAGTCATGCTCATGGCAGCCTCCCATGTGATATCTTGCATCGCTTATATCTTTTCGGCAAAATATTTTACGCCGTTTTTCCAGATGGCAGGGGGGCCTGTGTCCCTAACCCCACAACAGGGGTGGGGAACCTGATTCATGGAGGGCCAGTGTGGGTGCAGGTTTTTGGGATGGCCTTTCAATCAGCCAATAATAAAGCAGTGGTTCTCAACTCCAGTCCTGGGGAGCCTCTGTTATTGGCTGATTGAGAGGCCATCCCAAAAACCTGCACCCACACTGGCCCTCCATGGAACAGGTTCCCCACCCCTGCCCTACAATGTGGAAAGGTCGACTGCATATGTTCTGTAGAAAATCACCAGTGACATGCAATAAATACAAAGTTGAAAAAGTAACCAAAATGTACCATATCCTCCTGAGACCCCACCCATTCATTTATGTCCATTGTATGGACGTTTTGTTTTTGCATCTATCTTTTCACTGATGTAAGGAAATGTATTCCTGTTGTACACTAAAGAGGACATGCTGTGAAATTAAAAATAAAAATACACTTGAAAAAATCTATATTGTAAGATGTCATTTCCTCCAAAGACAAATAACCTAAAATTGAAGTAGACTTTTTTCCTTGGGTCTCAGGAGGATATTATACTTGTCCATGGACTTTGTATAATTTAACAGTAGATGAACACCTTAAGTTGGGTGTCATCCTAAGACTTCACATCAACCCTTGGCATGGATTCATCTGTACATTATGCAATAACATACACCTCAATCAGATTTTAATACATTTATTAGCAGCTAGTAAGAGTGCGTAGTGAGTGTGTTTCATTTCATGCCCCACACCTGATGGAGTCTAGTCACAATTCAGAACCTTTCTTTAGATGGAACAGCATGCAGGATTTTGTCTGTGTGCACTGGCATCAATCAGGGTGAGCTCTCCACTCGCAAAACATGCTCTTTAAAGACCTTAAAAATCAATACAAAATTCCTTTGCTTTACATGCCCTGAAATGTCTGCATCAAACTGGTCATGTTAATAAGCACATATCAGTGAACCTCAAGTTCAAAATAATCCTCTGCGATGAGACTGCAAGAATCAATCACTTGTATCAAACTATGATTACTGTAAGAGGTATAAACACAATTCGAGGTAACTTGAAATGTTCACTGATTCCAAAGCGCTTCCCAGAAAAGCCTCAGTTTGGCAAATAGCTCAATGATAGTTTTCACTGACAAACAATTTCAGTTGGAATAAACCAACTGTTACAGATAAAAGCTGGGTTTCAGGCTGGAGAGCCGGATAACAATCAGAAAATAATTGATGAAATGCTTACAAATAGAAAAATCAAGGTACTGTTCCCCCAATTTTGGTTTAAAAAAAAACTTCACTAATGAACTTTATTATTAAAACAGACAGTCCCTAGCATCCCACTTAATACTAAATAAGTTATCCATTACTTCATTGCTCTGTTAGATGACGATGACAATGATGACAATGTGGTCCCAATATAAATGATTCAGTAGCAATATAGAAGACAGATGCTGGTCTGGAATTATTGCATTTGGAGTGTCTGCTAAAGGAGCTTGAGTGCTGGGACCTACATCACTCCTTTGGCTAAAAAAGTTTAATCATGCTCTCTCGTGACTTGCCTACGCCAACCCACTTCACTATAAGAGACAGAGAAACAATGTTAAGTCAAACTGTTGTGTAAGCAAATACCTTCAAAAGAACAACTTATGTTTGGTATGCCAAAACAACATATTATATTCAGTGGTATACCGTACATTAAATTGGGCAGAGGCATTTGAGGGGTTCGAGATATTTTATAAGACTGATGCAGGGAATTAAACTTGTATTAAGCTCCTTCTACTAAGGTTACGGAATACAGAAGCATGTCTGGGCTTACCAGGAACCTGAAGGAAGTTCTCAATGAATTGGATATATTTCTGTGCCTCAAGGGGAAGTTCCTCAAAACTCCGGGTCCCTTCAGTGCTGCAATTCCAGCCGGGAAATGTCTCGTACTGCACTGAGACCTTGGTCAACACATCCATGTTAGCTGCAAAGGAGGCCAGACGAAACATCTGAGATTACAGCAACCTGTTTCCAGATTCTCTTAAACCTTCAGCACACCCAACTGAACTTCATCAGCTCAAATATTAGTTGATCAGTTTAATCCGATCGTCTAGGTGGTAGCACAGGAGAAACAACGAATAGCTGGTGTTAATTCCAGGAAAGCTTAAGGAACCAGTGAAATTCTGGACAAGGATGAGACTGGGTGACCACAATCACCTGGAAAGCTGGGAAGTGGCTGTCCATCAACTGTGTAGCCTACACCAACTTTGATCTCAGGTAGCGTATCCAGGATATCAAGTTTGGTAAGAGCAAGCCTAAAAAGGAGGGAAAAAAGTCAGTTCACCACTTCCCATAAAGTTGTGCAATTGACGTTAGAGGCATTCATATATTTAAATCTAGTCAAAACATTTGCTTATCTATATACCAGGACATGCCGCCACAGCATTTTTGCTGTTCATAACAACACACTCTGAACTCTCAAGGAACTCATCGTCACCTGCTGTTATGACATCTATGTCTTAGGTCTATTTACATCAACAACTAGCATAATGTATTTGTATTGCAGAGTGTGTGTGTGTGTGTATGTGTATAATTTATATATAATCTATTATATTGCACATTGTACATATACTGTCTATAACTAATGTTTATTTAGATATATTTTTTCTATATATTTCCTTAGTCTTCGCCCTTTCATATTTAACTGAATTTGTTAAACTTGTTAATGCACAGTCTCAGGACCGAATCGGAGTACATTTCACTAAGTGTTATACTTGTATAACTGTGTATGTGACAAAGAATCATGAATCTTGAATATACCTGGAATTAAAACCTGAAAAATATAGGCAAAGGACACCTTGAGCAAGCATACATACACACTTGTATGCGTGGCGGTTGGGTCCTTACGCAGTGAAGCCATTGACCATGTGGGCATAGCGCACCAGCACCAGATCAAGCCAGCCACAGCGTCTGCGACGACCTGTGGTCACGCCGACCTCCCTGCCTCGAGACTGCAGCAAGGCCCCAACGTCCTGCAAACCACGCGCATGCAATGCGTTCTTACCGACACAGAACGTCCATAAAGTAGAACACACACTAGCATACACACCACACGCCCACTTACGTTGTCCTGCTCTGTGGGAAAGGCTCCTACTCCTACTCTAGTCGTGTAGGCCTTGACCACTCCATAGACTCGCCCAATGTGTGACGGAGGTATTCCCAGACCAGTACAAACACCGCCCACTGTGCAGTTTGATGATGTTACAAAGGGGTACGTCCCTGCAAATCAGACCCCCACCCAACTTTATCAATTCTTATCCGTAACACAGCTGCTAGTAAAGAAAACATTCAGAAATGCCAGAAAGCCACATCTGGTGCCAGCAGATCATTGCTGCCATTTTGGCCTATTTCCATTTCTGTCATACCAAAGTCGATGTCCAGCAAGGCTGCGTTGGCTCCCTCTACCAAGATCTTCTTGCTGGGACCAGTGAGGGCTT